ACCTTGAGAGATTCCTGGCGCGCGGAAGGAGAATGCAGAAGACACAGCCTTAACCCCCCCCTACCCTACATCTCTGAACCGCCTTGTTAACACAAGCTGAAGCCACAACTAAGTCCTTAGTCGTTTACCAGGCCGTCAACCCTGCTAGCCTACATAGCCTAAACCCATACCCTGCTTGGCTACAACGTCTTCACGTGAACAAGCCTAGTAAGCTGGGGAGAACACGGGCGCCCTGTGTGTTCAAAGGGGTTGTTTGTCAGGAGCCCAAACCCAAAGAAGGAGTTTGAAAGGCCCTTTAAAGGGATGGCCTCTCGGGGAAAGACAAGCTACACAGCGCCCACTTACTAAAAGGGAACCTGGCTTAAGTTATGGGTTTAGGGTTTAGGGTTTAGAACTTTACGAGTGCAGTTCAAGTCAGCACACTTTGGTTGCGCGGCAGGCAATCAAGAGCCGTTCGGCAGAATCTTATCGAATGGCAAGTCTTCATACCATCGGCCTCCGTACTGTTTCGAGTCCAAGGTCATGATCCACACCCTCTTTGCGCCAAACAAGCCCGAAACCTAAATCCTAGACTCCTAGACGAAGTTTAAATACGCTGAGCCCATCTTGCACCCAAAGCCCTAAACCCTAAACCTCAACTTGACCAAGAGGTGAGCAGTGTAGGGTTTCGTCTTCATCCAGTGGGCCAGAAACAGCAAGAGGCCACATTGGGATGTTCCCCCTTAGACGAGCAGTCCTTAATCGGGCTTACAATAGGGGGTACTAAACATCCCTAATAAGGACAGTTGCCCGAAACCCTAAACCCTAAACCCTAAACCCTAAACCCATATAAGGGGGAGCATCCCAAAGGCTACATCGAATCATCGGGACTGCTCTTGGCGATGGCCAGATCGAAAACTGGTGGCGTCCTTGCACTCTTGTTTAGGGTTTAGGGTTTAGGGTTTAGGGTTTAGGGTTTAGGGTTTAGGGTTTAGGGTTTAGGGTTTAGGGTTTAGGGTTTAGGGCTAGACGCGGGAGCAACCTAGAAATGAAAAGAGCGCCCTTTTTTTGCTTTTTTTAAGGGGGTTATAAGGGAAGACCAACCCTAAACAAAGGAAATAAGGGTCTTCGCGGGTCCTACTGCCGGTAGGCAACTTCAGATGCAGGGTGGCGGGTGAAGAGATTCGGGTTGAATGCTGAAATCGAGACATCGCACCGTCGTGTTGCAAAAACAGTTGAAGCAGGGCACGCCAGAAACCCCGAAACAAAACCACAATCTAAAAGGGCGCCCCTTTCTGTATTGGCTAGCTACCTGGCAAATGATCCAAGTGTCCAAAATAAAGAAAGAATCCCCAAGAAAAGGATATAAAGAGTAGCACCGGGCATCCTAGACAATATTATGAGAAGGCGCCCCTTTTTGGGTTGGTCACTTTATAAGGGAACTTGAACCAAAAGGGAAAAGGTTACCACTGGGGGGCTACGGCCATCCTAGACAAGTCTCCAAAGCACCTAAACCCGGACACCCTAAACCCTAAACCCTAAACCCAAAATCCAAAACCCAAAACCCCAAACCCTAAACCCTAAACCCTAGCGCTAAATGAGCTGCCTTTCGAGCTCAGCCATCGCCCTGGCATTATGGCATTTGCACGATCTTGCGTGGAACCTGCCATCTGGACGCCGGCTCTACGTACCCCTATGGTGTTAGGGGCCTGCAGGGTTCAGGGTTCCGGGTTCAGGGTTTAGGGTTTAGGGTTTAGGGTTTAGAGCTATGTTAAGGGCTTCTGTTGCAAGTACTTGTAGAGCTTTGGCAGAGGGATTGGCACTTAGTTTTCCGAGTAGTGCTCCGGGCATATGTTGTGATTATGGGACCCCATACCGCCCCCCAGGCCCAACAACAGCAGACCCTAGGGTAGGAGAACTCTAGAAACACATGACAGCAAAAGGTTGGGGAAGAAGATCAAGACACTCAATGAGAATGTACCGACACTGTTGCAAGTAAGTCCTGAACCCTAAGCCCTTAACTTTAGACTAAACTCTACAAGTTTGCCACATTCATGCGGAAAGATCAAGACATCAACGCTGTAGAGGGCCAATAAACATCGGCCGCGAAGCCTTCTGGAAGAAATGACGTCTGAGAAGTCGTGCAGTCCAACCCTGCTGCCAGTGCTAGGCAAGCCCCTAAACCCTAAACCCTAAACCCTATAAACCCTATAAACCCTAAACCCTAAACTCTAAACCCTAAACCCTAAACGCCTATAGCGAGTGTGAAGGCACTGCGCGAGTTGAGGGCGCAGGGCTTCATAGGGTGTAGGATTTTGGGTTTAGGGTTTAGGATTTAGGGTTTAGGGTTTAGGGTTTAGGGCCTCAAGTGTAGAGTTTGAGAGTTGAACCACTTAGGACTGTCAAAGTCCCTAAGCCCTTGGGGGTTTTAGGGTTTTAGGGTTTTAAGGTTTTAGGGTTCTAGGGTTTTAGGGTTTCAGGGTTTTAGGGTTTTAGGGTTTTAGGGTTTTGGTGTTTTTAGGGTTTTTAGGTTTTTAGGGTTTTAGGGTTCTAGGGCTTTAGGGTTTTAAGTTTTTAGGGTTTTAGGGTTTTAGGGTTTTAAGATTTTAGGGTTTTAGGGTTATGGTTTAAGAATTCAGCGTAAGGCGTACAATGACGGCGATGGCCCCCTGCACTTTCGGCACGCGAGGGCTAAGCCAAAGCATTCCTCGCAGGTGTCAGTGGTCAAAGCACGTCCGTACCCCAGCTGATCCGAAAAAAGACGGTGTCAATTTCTCAAAACACTAGACTTTAAATCCTAAAGCCTAAACCCCTAGACCCTAAACCCCAAACCCTAAACCCCCTGTCCCGACTCCTCGGCATTTTCGAGTGAGAGCCTAGGAGCGTTGCACCAAAATCCACACACCAAGACCAGCACTTGAGGGTTTATGACGCCTTTGGCCCATGAGGCAGGACGTGAAGAGCTTTTGGTCAGACTCTGAGCTATCACTACTAATTGCTTAAGAACCCCGAAAAAATATTAAAATATTCTTCCTTTTTGAGGGAAATATAGGGATTGTTATTTGTTTTATTCTTTTGGGGTTCTTAAGCAAATAGTAGATCGGGAAAAAGAGTCAAGATACAGGCATAGGCTGCAGCCCTGAACACCCTAGCTAGCACCGGAAAATCTTCCCTCACACACCCTCAGCCCTAAACCCGAAAACTCAAAAGCCCTAAAACCTACAAACCGCCCCAAAGCCAAAACCCTCCAAACCTACGGCATTCTTTTTGCCATATTGCCGGGGGATTTAAGTGTAAGGGTTGGGCCGTGAGGACACGCAATGCTCGGCCTAGAGACTGGGAGGGTCTTAGGGATGTGGGCGTGGCAATGGCACCCAGAAGGGACACGGGATTAGGGTTTAGGGTTTAGGTTTTAGGGTTCAGGGTTTACGGTTTAGGGTTCAGGGTTAGGGTTTGGGGTTTAGGGTTCAGAGTTCAGGGTTTAGAGTTTAGGGCTTAATTAGTGTTTAGGGTTTAGCCATGTACATATATAACATGTGCTTACTGTCCGCTCTAGTTTAAGCTTCTATCCCTAAACCCTAAACCCTAAACCCTAAACCCTATACCCTAAACCCACCCTAAACCCTAAACCCTAAACCCTAAACCCCAACCTGAGAAATCTCTTGAAAGACTCGGGTTCGCCCTGGTTTTGTGTCTCGGTTTATGAAGCTAACTGCCGCTAATGAGCTCCTCAAACTCGCTTTAGATCTGGGAGCGTAAAAGCGGGTTTAGGGTTTAGGGTTTAGGGTTTAGGGTTTAGGGTTTAGGGTTTAGGGTTTAGGATTTAGGTCTTTAGGGTTTAGGGTTAAACCTAAGAAATATTCCATGAATCCCAAACCCTACACCCGAAGGGAGAATGGAGCTCAATCCTACTTCAGGGATGTTGCTGGGAGGCTAATAGCCGATCGTCCTGCCTTCGTAGCTGGGCCGCACTCAAGATTTCTTCCTCCATAGCCTACTTCTGAAGGTTTAGGTGCTTTATGGTCCCCTATGTCGGAGTAGGTTCATGGTATTTATTGACCCAATGATTCGTGTACTCATCACACAGCTACAACCATACTATGGCACTTAAAGGCTTTAGAAGTGTGGGTTATAGGTACACTTGCAACTGGGTTCTGATCGATAAACCGCCCAGTAACCAAATTATAATGAGGGCACGCGGTTGGGGGGTGGTTACTTTATCAGGGAACCTTGAACCAAGAAAGGGTAAAAGGGTACCATCGGGCCCTTGGACCTCCAAGTAACCCGTAGGCCCCCCGAAAAACTTTGGGGTCGTCATAGGGATCTAGGGTGGAGTGTGATCTGAATCGCTCTCCAGTAGGGTCTAGGGGTTTCGGGTCTTAGGGTTTAGGGTGCTAGGGTTTAGGCTTTACGGTGTCGAGTTTCGGGTTTATGGTGCCAACTGCAAGATCACCCCACACTTATCTTCTGGATTCAAGGCAGAGACACTCCCTACCTGCAACACCCTGAACCCTAAACCCTAAACCCTACACCCTAAACCCTAAACCCCAGTTTCAGCGCAGTAGGATTTGCACCGCAAAGTCAATAATCTCATCTTGAGCGCGAGCCGAGAAGGAGAAAAACAATACTGCCGGATTCGTCGGCCTCTAGATCTCTCTGGTTTCCCCCCCTTGCAGAGAAAAAAAACCGCTGAGGGCTTAGAGTTTAGGGTTGAGGGTTTAGGGTTTAGGGCTTAGGGTTTAGGGCTTAGGGTTTAGGGTTGAGGGCTTAGGGCTTAGGGTTTAGGGCTTAGGGTTTCCAGTGCGGGTCATGAAGGAAGAGGCTAATCCTCAGATCAGCTGGGCAGCCTAGGCTTCCTCATGAAAACCTACAGCAGAATCAACATGTGATACTAGCATCGGCTACTCTGGCAACAGCGGCGTTTAGGAATTAGGGTTTAGGGTTTAGGGTTTAGGTTGACCCCAAACCCTAAAGGGGGGCAAACCCCATCCTACGGTTCTGTTTCCAGAACATTCTTCGGCTCAGTCTCGCAAACTTTGTGCCACCAGGTGGGAGAAAGGTAACCATCCTCGGTCGTTCCCATCCTGCGCCGAAGGGCGAGGGATCACGGGATGCAGGTGCCCAAGCCTGTTCCTTCATTTTGTGTTTAGGCTTTAGGGTTAAGGGTTTTGGGTTTAGGGTTTAGGGTTTGGGGTTTAGGGCTTTTAAGGTTAGGGCTTGGTTTTTAGGGCTTTTAAGGTGTAGGGCTTGGGGTTTGAGGTGTAGGGTTTGGGGTTGAAAGTCTGCCGGCTTCTACCCTAAAGCCTAAAGCCAATTGATTGCCTGAGAATGGGGTCTAATGCTGAGGTTGAGGGTGCACTCGTGAGAGTGCGAAGGTTTTTGACCTCACGCAATATTTGTTCATACAGGCTCACGGTTCGTTCCTTGACGAGGATTTCAGTATTCCGGGGTACATATGCTTCATAGGCAGTACCCGAAGTACAGACCCTGCCAATTAAACCATGCTCCTTTTCTCTGGGGAAGACCTCAAACGGTTGACGTGCCGGAAGTTGCGGTTTACGGTTTAGTGTTTGAGCCTTTGGGACCCTGTCAATCTTAAACCCTAAACCCTAAACCCTAAACCCGAAGCCCTAAACCCTAAAGCATCTGGCGCCCAGCCTCTTTGGAGCAGTAGACCCACCTGTCCTTGGGCAATCTCTGCCCGAATTGTTCTTAGGGCTTAAGGGGTAATGGGCGCTTCGAGTGTTGTAGGTGTTGGTCGAGCATCTCCCGAAACGATGCTCGGCTTTGGGGTGGGCAGCCCACAGACTCCACTATCCCTTAATTAAGGAATATACCTTGAATTATAGTAAGGATCCCAAATATGATTTAAGGTAGAATTCCTTAATTAAGGGATATTGGAGTCTCTGGGAGGTAGTCTTTTGCTTCTGGTCCACAGGGGTTGGCACTTTTTTCGACTTGGGTTGTTCCCTTCTTGGCTCCCATTGAAGAAGTGCTTGGGCTCTGGTTACCATGTGGACCAAGTCGAGAGGTCAAACCCCGTGTCAGCACTATACTGTATGGGATTTTGCAGGATCACGTGTGGAGCTGCACCCCTAAACCCTAAACCCTAAACCCTAAACCCTAAACCCAAAACCCTAAACCCTAAACCCTAAACTCAAGTGAGCACAGCCAGGCATTGGCCTGTCTAACAGCCACGCATGTTCTACTTCCTGCTACAAGGTGGGGCTTGGGTTTTGGGGTTGGGGTTTAGGGTAGGGCATATAGGGCTTAGAGTTTAAGGTTTGGGTGTATTGCTGGTAAGATGGTGTGGAGAATATATCGGGGCTTGTACTGGATAGCATACACCCCTTTTCAATGGTTTAGGGTTTAGGGTCTAGGGTCATGCTTGTTTACAGGCATCTGAAAGTTCAGCATGACTTTCTCGGGCAGCACACTGAGGTGTGTTTGAAGAACCCTGTAGTGCTCCTGACTGCTGCACTGGGGCCATAACATCCCGTGGGGTGTAGTGGAAAGTTAAGGGCACAGATCTTCCCACGCAAGGGAATAAGGAAACACCCCTGCACTCCCTGACACCCTGTATCCGCAAAAACTGATCATGAAGCACGCCTGCCTTCTTTGTCTCCAATGGTTCGCTTGGGGTCTGGTCTCGCAGTCTTGCACTCCGGTGGAAAATGCAGGCTGCGCAAGCAGAAAATCACGTGACCCCACATCAAGATGACTTTAAGTCATGGTGGAGTTCCGTGGATATGGGATTTTGGGAGGTGCTTGTTGATTTCGGAAAGGTCAAGCTCAAGCAGCTTGACTAGCAATTGCTTAAGAACCCCCCAAAATATGAATAAAATTCTTCCTCATAAGGGTAATAGAGGGATTGTAGTTTTTTTTTTCTCTTTTGGGGTTCTTGAGCAAGTAGTAGCTGAAGGGAGCCCTGGACAGAGCAGCTAGCGCAAGGTCGCCACGCCAAGCATCGCGAGGACGAGGCTGTTCAGACCCCAAGCCATGGAGAAGCTGACCATGAACTGGCCCGAACTCGGAGCCTCAGGGTTCAGGGTTCAGGGTTCAGGGTTTTTGGGTGCAGGGTTTAGGGTTTAGGGTTCAGGGTTTAGGGTTAAGGGTTTAGGGTGTAGGGTTTAGGGTTTAGGGCTTCGTGCCGACGAACGAGCACTCCTCCCACAGCCACGTCAGTACTCCCACGGTTGAGGGTTCAGGGTGTAAGGGTTTAGGGTTTAGGAGGGTTTAGGGTTCAACCCTAAATCCTAAACCCTAAACCCTAAAAACCCGCTCCCAAATCAGCCCCAAGAAACTGTGGTGGTTTCGAAGGAGATCTCCTCGGCGTCGCTCTTGGGCCGCACCGTGGCGGAGTTGGTGTCGTTCTCGCCGCCGCGCGCGAGGATGTCGAGGGTCATGCTGGAAGGGATGACCCTAAACCCTAAACCCTAAACCCTAAACCCTAAACCCTAAACCCGAAACCCTAAACCCTAAACCCTAAACCCTAAACCCTAAACCCCTAAACCCTAAGCCCTCAACCCTAAACCCTAAACCCTCAACCCTACACCCTCAACCCTAAACCCTAAACCCTGAACCCTGAACCCTGAACCCTGAACCCTAAACCCTGAACCCTAAACCCTAAACCCTAGGGTTAGGGCTTTGGGCTTCCGAAAATTCAGGGTCCCTGTTTAGGGGTTCCCTGAAGAGGTAGGAGGGTATAAATTCGGGATCCACAAAGGAACACAGTGGTCCAAGCCCCTAAGCCCTAAGCCCTAAGCCCTAAACCCTAAACCCCAAACCCCAAACCCCAAACCCTAACCCATAGGGTTTGGGACTTTCCGGGTTCGCTTGAGGGGTCGCGCACTGCTGGAACCGACCCGAAATACCCTAGACAGTTCACGCTCAACTAGCGCTGTAGCGTTTCGGGTCTAGGGTTTAGGGTTTAGAGTTTAGGGTTTAGGGTTTAGGGCCCAGGGCTTACTTGGAGGATCGGGGCACTTAGGAAGTCGGGTTATATGTGCCGCAATTGGGCTGGTAAGTGATTGTCAGTGTAGTTGCCTTGCTTATAGCGCTACTTACAAAGTCCCCCCTGATCCTTTAAGTAAGGGTTGAGGGTTCCTATCATTTCAGGGTCCCGGCTTCCTACCCTAAACCCTAAACCCTAAACCCTAAACCCTAAACCCTAAACCCTAAACCCTAAACCCTAAACCCAAAACCCTAAACCCTAACCCTAAACCCAAAACCCGAAACCCAAAACCCAAACCCCTAGTTGTCCAGAAAGGGCTCCTGTGCACGGTGAACTTCGCCGGAGCTTCGTCAGCCGCGATGGGAAGAAGCACTGCAATCCTAGGTCGCCCAGTAACCTGGGATTAAACCCTGATTAAACCCTAAACCCTAAACCCTAAAACCTAAACCCTAACCCTAAACCCCAAACCCTAAAACCTAAACCCTATACCCTAACCCTAAACCCCCCCCCCCCCAGAAAAAAAAAGGAATCAGGGCACTGCTGGGCATCCTAGAAACGAGGAGATCGAGGATGGCGTGAGGTTGAAGCACGCTGCCGTGTCTGCGCAAGGACGGATGCCCCGCATCATCAGCTCCTGCGGAGCCGAAAGCCCTGAGCCCAACTGGTTTAGGGTTTAGGGTTTAGGGTTTAGGTTTTAGGTTTTAGGGTTTGGGGTTTGGGGTTTAGGGTCTTCAGCTCCTGGGGAGCCGAAAGCCCTGAGCCCAAAACTCTCAACCCTCAACCCTCCCCCAATTCCGGGTTCAGGGTTTAGGGTTTAGGGTTCAGGGTTTAGGGTTTTTCTTCAGGGTTAAAGGTTTAGGGTTAAAAATCCAATACTCCTCCCCACCCCCTCCACCTTCCTCGCCGTGGAAGTGGGAAACTTCCAAACCCCCTGAACCCCCTAAACCCCCTTCTGACCCCCACAAAGAAATCAACCCCCCCCCCCCCCCCCCCCACACAAAACCCCTAAACCCTGAAACCATTAAAGACCCTGAAGCCCTGAAACCCTAGAAACCCTGGAAACCTAAACCCTAAACCCTATATAAACCCTAAACCCTGAAACCCTGAAACCCTGAAACCCCGAAACCCAAAACCCCAAACCCCATTATATAGACCCTAAACCCTGAAACCCTGAAACCCTAAACCCTAAACTGCCTGGAAGCCTAACCGAACCCTAACCCCCCGGGAACCCTAAACCCTAAAACCTAAACCCCAAACCCTAAACCCTATAAACCCTAAACCCTAACCCCGAAACCCTAAACCCTAAACCCTATATACCCTATATACCCTATAAACCCTAAACCCTAAACCCTATAACCCTATACATAACCCTAAACCCTAAAAAGCCTAAACCCTAACCCCGAAACCTCGAAACCCCGAAACCCCGAAACCCTAAACCCTAAACCCTCGGTGGGCTCCTCGCCGTGAAAATCGGTCCACTTGAGCCAGAGGTTGTGCGGACCGTCGCTGCTGACCCTGACCGCCGCGATGAAGCCTTAGGCTCAGGGTTTTGGGGTTTGGGGTTTGGGGTTTGGGGTTTAGGGTTTAGGGTTGAAATATTGTTTAGGTTTTGAGGATGCAGGATTTAGGGTTGAGGATTTAGGCTCTAGGGTTTAGGGGGGTTCGGGGTTTGGGGGCTTTAAAGTTTTAGGGCTTAAGAGTTTTTGGGTTTAAGGGTTTTAGGGGTTTAGAGGGGCCTTAGGGCTTCAGGGTTTGGGGGTCCAGGATTGAGGGTTTTAAGGGGTTTCGGGGCTTTAGGATTTCAGGGCTTAGGGCTTTAGGATTCTCAGGGGCTTAGGGGTTTTAGGGGCTTAGGTGTTGTTGATTAATTATTTCTATTACTATTTTTCTACTTCATTGTTTTATTATTATTTTATGATTATTGTTATTATTTTTTTTTTTTTTTGGGGGGGGGGGGGTTGGCGTTTTGGGGTTCAGGGGCTTTGGTTTAGGTTTTGGGGTTTCTGCGCTGAGAGGGTTTAGGCTTTGGGGGTTCAGGGCTTAGGCCTTTTGGTTTCATGAGCTGTTGCAATGCTTAAGAACAAGGGGACCCTAAACCCAAAAACCACAAAAACCCTAGTAAACCCTAAAAAAAAACCCTAAATCCCAAAACCCGAAAAGCACCATAAACCCTAAAAAACCCGAAAACCCCTGACAACCCCAAAAGCCCTCCTGAAAACCCAAAACCCTGCGCTTAGGAACGAAGGCACCCAAAAAACCCGAAAAAACCGAAAAACCCTAAAGACCCTAAAAAAACCCTAAAAGCCCTAAAAGCCCTAAAAAACTCTAAAAACCCTAAAAACACAGAAAAACCCTAAAAACCCCACAAAAAAAGCCCGAAAAACACAAAAAAAAACCTTTTAAAACCCTAAAAAAGCCCCCCAAAACCCTAAAAAAGCCATCAAAAAAACCTAAAAGCCCTACAATGTGGAGCATGGCAGCGTGCATCTTGTCGGGTGTCGTTCAGGCGGATCTTGAAGTGACGCACCTGCACCGGGGCGTGGCTTTTTTGGTTGTTTTAGGGTTTAGGGCTTAGGGTTTAGGGTTTAGGGTTTAGGGCTTAGGGTAGTTTAGGGTTTAGGGTTTTAGGGTGGAGGGCCACCTCTGAAATTAAAACAAGGCACCTGAACCCAAACTGTCCCCCGAACCCTCTAAAGTCCCTAAGGCCCCTAAAGGCCCTACAAGCGTTAAGAACCCCTAGGGTTTAGGTTTTAGGGTTCGGGGTTTGGGGTTTAGGGTAAAAGCGCCGAAAAACCTTAAAGTGACCAACCCAACAGCCCGATTCAGGCTTTGGAGGTTTAGCTCTTGGAGGTTAAGGGTTTGGGGTTTTGGAGTTTAGGGTCTGGGGTTTAGGGTTTAGGGTTTAGGGTTGAGGGTTGGGGGTTGAGGGTTTAGGGTTTAGGGTATCTTGTGCCCTTAACAACAAAGGCCTTGGTGTTGGAGAAAGAAATCTCAAGCCCGTCGTAGCCCGCAAGCCCGTGGCTCACAGCAGAATCGGGCAAAGTGCCTGGGTTTAGGGTTTAGGGTTTAGGGCTTAGGGTTTAGGGCTTAGGGTTTGAGGTTTAGTTTGGGGTTTAGGGTTCTTCAGCCTCACGGCCGAGAAAGAACCCCCTGGCATCCCTCTCAAAATTTACGGGCTCCGGGAATGAACCCTTATAGGGGTTCAAGAAGGAATCCTGAACACGAAGCCTCAAACCCTAAAACCCAGGCCCTAAGGGTTGCTAGGGTGTTAGGCAATGTATACTTGTAAAGGATTCCTGACAAGTTCTGAGCCAAGAGGCAAGAGGCAAAAGGATTTAAGCCAGCCCGGCCCACGAACGCACTTTCCAAATTCCCGATTGGACACTGCGGTTTAGGATTTAGGGTTTACGGTTTGGGGCTTAAAGGGTTAAGGGAAAAGGGTTAAGGGTTGAGGGTTAAGGGTTAAGGGTTAAGGGTTCAGGGTTAAGGGTTTAGGGACCCCGGTTAGGGTCCCTGCTGCAGCGTTTTGGCTAAGGCTGCTGGAGACATCAAGATACGCTTTGATCCAGGAGTTGCGGATCTGGAACATGGACGCCAAATGTGACCCCTTGTCTTCTGAAGGCGGAATACTGGAACCCTTAAGGGATATCATCTAAAACCTTAAACCTTCAACCCTAAGCCCTTAAAGGAATGTCGTCTGTGATGTGATAGGTGTTCGGGGGCAGCAGTGGTGTTTTTGGTTTTAGAGTTTTTTTGAGTTTAACTTCTGATTTAGGGGTTTATAGGGTGTAGGTGTTCAGGGTTTAGGGTTTTTTGGGTTTTAGGGATGAGGTTAGGAGGTATTGAAACCTCAACCCCAAGCCCTAAACCCTAAACCCAACCCCCTAAACTCTAAACCGAAACACCCTAAGCCCTAACTGTTGTGCCGGGGCACCCTCCACGATACTGTACATGGTGCTCTCGTTGAGCGCAGTGTCCATCTGCACAGTGTCATCTACCTGCCGTTCACCAACAACAATCGCGCCTCCTCAACTTTGTGCGAGTTATGGGGTCAAGGTTCAGGGTTTGACGGCGCTTAGGGCGGCTCTAGCCCTAAACCCCAAGCCCCAATATGCCTAAATGTCCAAACCGAGCGCTCTTGGACGCGCCGTGGGAGTTCAAGTTTGAAAGCGCCTGTTTGCACCTCAGGACCCGAATCGCACAGGCTGCTGCTACCCTGCACCTTATAGAGGGTGTAGGGTTTAAGGTTTAGGGTTTAGGGAGTTGGGTTTGGGGTTTGGGGTTTGGGGTGTATACGGCGTAGGGTTTCGAGCAAACTACACCCCACCCAGAAGGCATAGAACAGGATGGGCCTTCCTCGGGCCGAACTTCCCTGTACAATCCTCTCCACTGGTGCCCCTATAAATGCCTTGCACCCTCATATACCAAGCCCTGGATTTTCTGATTTCTTGAAGGGCTTCGGAGCTGTTCCGGCCTCTCTGCAGAAGGCGGAAGCTTAAGAATTCTGGTCCCTTCGGGTTTAGGGTTTAGGGTTTAGGGTTTAAGCCTGCGTTTCGAGAAAAACCTTAGAGCCCAGAGCTTCTGAGACTCATGGGTGGTGATCAGTAGGGTTATAGGGTACACTATATAAGCTAGAACGCTACTCATGACCCCAGCTATACGCACACATGAACCCTAAACCCTAAACCCTAAACCCTAAACCCTAAACCCTAAACCCTAAACCCTAAACCCTAAACCCTAAACCCTAAACCCTAAACCTTAAACCCCAAGGTAGGTTCGGGGAACCCCAAACCAGGGTGCCGCCCAGGCGCAATATTGACGACTGGCCAGTGGTGCACTGGACACCTCGCTACCCGCCCTGGCACTGCCCATGAAGAAGCATCCAAGACATTCCTTAACGGTTCTTGGGCTCCGTTTCAATTTAGGGCTTAGGGTTTGGGTTTAGGGTTTAGGGTTTAGGGTTTAGGGTTTAGGGTTTCGGGTTTTGGGGGTTAGGGGTTCGGGGATTTAGGGTTTTGCCCATGAAGAAGCTCCAACTGTTCTTTGGCTGGACAATTCTTTTGCGTTGTTTTGCTTTAAAAGTCTCAAAGAAAACCTCTCCCTGTTCTTTGGGCTCCGTTTGAAGATGATGGGTTTAGGGTTTAGGGTTTAGGGTTTAAGGTTTTTGTTTAGGGTTTAGGGTTTAGGGTTTAGGGTTTAGGGTTTACTCAAAATGAACATTTACTGAATTTACTGCACATACCGGTCCAGATTCAGCTTCTCGACGGCAGAGACATTCTCCTCGGCTTGCGTTGTGCACTTCAGGATTGGGCTTAACGGAAGAATGATTGAGCATCGTGTGTTTACGGAGCGCTGCCGCGTTGGATGGAGGGCCAACAGCAATGTCTCGTCTCGGCTTCAATGCGGCCGCGCGTCGTCTTGGGAGGTGACCTCGTCCCACTGCGGAATGCTCAGCTGCTGCGAACCGGCGAGGACGCAGCCAGCGACGCAAAGCCAGGAGCCTGAGTTCCAATTTCAAGGGCAGACACAGCAAATCCTGAACCTTAATTATATGGGCGGGCGACTTCCATCAGCATCACGATTTCTGACAGCAGCCTCTAGGAAAATGAGTGAGTCCCAAAGAAGGCCCCCTCAATACAAGCGTTATACACCCCATACCATTGAAAGTTTCCGGATCAAGCGGCCATACGATTAGGGACCCAGACCCTAAACCCTAAACCCTAAACCCTAAACCCTAAACCCTAAACCCTAAACCCTAAACCCTAAACCCTAAAGCTGCGAGGAAGCGAAGTGTCCGAGTCATGGCTGAGGCGGCGTTTGAGCGAAGATGCGGAGGGCTGCGGACCGAAGCGTTCGGCAAGTCTTGGGTTGCAGGTTTAGGGTTACAGGGTTCAGGGTTCAGGTTAGGGTTTAGGGTTTAGGGTTTAGGGTTTAGGGTGTAGGGTTTAGGGTTTAGGGTTTAGGGTTTAGGGTTTAGGGTTTAGGGTTTAGGGTTTAGGGTTATGGTTTAGGGTTTTGGGTTTAGGGTTTAGGGTTTAGGGTTTAGGGTTTAGGGTTTAGGGTTTAGGGTTTAGGGTTTAGGGTTTAGGGTTTAGGGTTTAGGGTTTAGGGTTTAGGGTTTAGGGTTTAGGGTTGGCAAGTCTTGGGTTTGGGGGTTTAGGGCTTAGGGGTTTAGGGTTCTGGGGTTTCGGGTTTAGAGTCATAGATCAGAGGGTTTAGGGTTAGGGTTACAAAGTTTATTAGGGCTTAGGGTTGCAAAGTTTTGGATTGGGGTCATAGGGTTAAGGGTTTAGGGTTGAGGGCTTAAGGCCACAAACAAATAACATGAATCCTAAGGCGTAAAGCCTTACCCGAAGGGTCCATGCACCTAAACGGGGAGTACTTGGGCCTTCAAGCACCTCCCATGCAGGGATTTTGGGGCTCAGGGACTCAGGGAGGAGATTATACTTGGGATCCCTCCACCTTCTACACCCTACAACCCTTAACCCTTAACCCTACACCCTGAACCCTAAACCCTCAACCCTACACCCTACACCCTACACCCTAAACCCTCCCTCCCCCCCCCCCCCCCCCCCCGGCCAAAATCAGCGCTCAGTGGCACGCACGGATGACAGGGGAAGGTACACCCACCACACTGAGCACGCGGAGCCCCACCAACCCCAAGCTCGAAAAAACCCAATAACCTAAACCCCTAGCCCCCTAAACCCCTAAACCCCAAACCCTAAACCCCAAAACCCTAAACCCCAAACCCTAAACCCCAAACCCTAAACCCTAAACCCTAAACCCTAAACCCCAAAACCCTAAACACTGAGGCGCCAACCTGCCCGGTGCCCACCTCAACAGGATGGTGAGCTCGGGGGGGAGGAGGGGGGGATGGGAGGTGAAGGCGTTGAGGGTCTAGGGTTTAGGGTTTAGGGTTTAGGGTTTAGGGTAATTCGGGTTGGGGGTTTAGGCTGTAGGGTTTTCGAGTTTTAGGGCTTTAGGTCTTGGGGTTATAGGGCTTGGGACTCCACCTTGGGACTCATTCAGGCACCCTAAACCCTAAACCCTAAACCCTAAATCCTAAACCCTAACCCCTAAACCTAAACCCTAAACCCTAAACCCTAAACCCTAAATCCTAAATCCTAAACCCTAAATAAACCCTAAACCCAAAACTCTAAACCCCGTGTGGTCAGACTGCATGCACTTCTCAGAAGGCCCACCCCGAGGCTTCTTCGCTGATGGGTAGTTCTGTACATTAGGGTCCTCTTTTGGGTCCCCTATAGCCAGGGTTTGGCTTTAGGGTTTAGGGTCTAGGGTCTAGGGTCTAGGGTCTAGGGTCTAGGGTCTAGGGTCTAGGGTTTAGGGTTTAGGGTTTAGGGTTGTTTAGGGATAGTATGGCACCCTTATAAAAACGACCCCCCCCCCCCCCCCCCCAGAAGGGACCCTGATTTAGAGAACTACCCTAGTGACGAAAGCTGGAACTCTATCATTGGCCAAAGGATCGTCGTTCAATTCCAGGGTTTGTCGAATGCACGCTCAGCAATGCTTGCTTTCTTGCGCGGCAGGGGTCCAGTACAAGAGGTTCCCCCGCATACTAGCAGTCCTTAATAGGGATTATAGTACCCCCCCAACTATACGTAATCCCTACTAAGGACTGTTAGTATAAGGGTGAACATCCCAAGTTGAGGGTTCCCACACGCTCCCAGTTATCCACCACGGCATAGCCGACCAACTTCAAGAGGAGGCCAAGAGCTGCTTTTGGAAGGACTTGCTGAGTCTCTGGGTTGCAGGGTTCAGGCCTTGTAGAAGCCCTAGGCCCACAACCACTAGACCCTAACACAAAACCCCAAAATCCGAAAACGCAACTCCCCCCCCCCCCCCACAAAAAAAACCTAGACCCCTAAAACCCTAAACCCTACAACCCTACAACCCTATAAACCCTGAACCCTAAACTCTAAACCCTAAACCCTAAACCCCCCACAAGGGGGAGCTCCCAGCCAGGCCTGTGGATCCAACAGCAGCTGCACCACATCGCCGATGACGAGTCCCAACTCTCCCTGGCCCTGAGGTTGGGTTTAGGGTGTAGGGTGTAGGGTGTAGGGTGTAGGGTTTAGGGTTTAGGGTTTAGGGTTTAGGGTTTAGGGTTTAGGGGGCTTAGGGGGTTTAGAGGTCTAGGGGTTTTAGGGGTTTAGAGGTGTAGTAGGGGATCCGAAGTATTGGTCTTAGTTCGGGTCCCCTGCTTTTTAACCGTACATGCACTGCACATAATCGGGGCCCATACTTCGGATCCCTTGAAACCCCTCATACTAAGGGCCCATGGTTCCAACCTTAGATTTAGGGCTTAGGGTGTACGGGCTTAGGGCTGAGGGCGTTTTTGGGATTCAGGGTTTAGGGGGTTTGGAGCTGGAGGTTTGGGGTGGCAGGGGGTTTAGGGGTTTGCTCAGGGAGTTTACAACCCACCATCTCCACGGTCTTCGGGTTTAGGGCAAGAGAACCCGCAAAGCCCCAAAGCCACCCTAAGTAAATCCTACTGGCCCCATGAAGAAGCTGCCCCAAAACCTCGAACTCCGAATCCCAAAGCCCTCATCCCTTACCCCCAAACCCTAAGACCCCATCTCCGACAAACCCGACAAAGCAGGACCGAGAACTCTCAACGTCCTTGGGCCCAGACCACAGCGTCGAAATCTTGCGCTGCGACATATAGATGCCTGGCTTAATCTGCTTAAGGTTCTTAGGGTTCAGGGTTTAGAGTTTAGGGCTTCGGGTATCTCTTTCTATCTCTCTCTGTCGCTCTGGTGTTGATGTCTAGTTGAGTTGGTGTCTGTGTTGGTATTAGTATTGCTTTGACTGCGTAGTGTACGTATATTGCACGCGCGTATGTATGTCGCTTGAAGGTTGATGGGCCTCACTGTTTGGTTGCAATTGAGGTTGTAAGCCTCCTCACAGTTCCCCTAACATGCCTTTCAGAGGTGACCCAAGCAAGTAAGTGGAACCAGAAGACTAATCACCAACCAGTTCGGAAGTCTCTTGAACCTCTCAACCCGAAGCCCCAGAAACCCACAACACTGAAAATCCCAAACAAAAAAGCAAAACCCTAAGCCCTAGCAAGCTCACAACCTAAACCCGAAACCCTGTATGTCAAACATTCGTGTGCCTCCGGGGGGAGGGGGGAAACAAAAATCAAGGCTATACACTGCAGGCATGCCATGTTTTACGATGGATGCTGAAGCGAACAAACCCCCAAACAAAACACACCCTAAACCCTAAACCCCAAACCTTAAACAATCAACCCTAAACCCTAAACCCTAAACCCACGGATGAAGCTCTAAAGGCCCTGAACCCTCCTGCATTTGCTCGCACTGGCTGTTGGATCTCTGCTTACGGGTGTTCTGATCTAGGACTGCAAAAGCCTAACACCCTAAACCCTAAACCCTGAATCCTAAACCCTAAACCCTAAACCCCCTAAAACCTTAATTCTGCCTTGTTTGGGTTCAAGTTCGGGTAAGGGGTAGTCGAGGCGTGGAGGAGGAGGGGAGGGGCGAGATTCGCGGAGCCCCTGCCAAAAGCACAGTTTTTCGTGGTCCCTTTTGCATAGAACAAACCAGAACGAACAAATTCAAGTCTGGTCCAGAGGCTACAATATAGGTCCCAGACTGGCCAAGGAAGAAAGAGGGCCCTCCACTTGGAGGTTCATGGTTTAGGGTTTAGGGTTTAGGGTCATAACCTGATCATAACTGTATTTATGACCCACTTATGAGCCCTTTACGTGACCTGATATGGTTATAATAAGGTTCTAAGTACAGTTCTAACTAGGCCTTTAAGTACCATGAACCCTAAACCCTAAGGCCTAAACCCTAAACCCCAAAGCCTTATAATTGGGTTATTCAGTACCATGAACTTCCAAGCAGGGTGACACGACCACAACTGGCTAGGCCCACTCTGGTTGGTCGGGTGCAGCTGCGGATGGAGGTTTTGCTCCATCCTTCTCTCCTGTTTGGGTCACAAGCATGGGCCCTTAAGTTTGGGGTCCCTTTGAGCCTACTATGTGTATATGCACATATGTATATTATATAATTAGACCCTAAACCCTAAACCCTAAACCTTAAAAAAGTCTGGGATTTTGGAGGCTTTCTGGGTTTAGGGCTTTGAGGGTTTAGGGTAAAACCTAAACCCTAAGCCCTAAGCCCTAAGCCCTAAACCCTAAACCCTAAACCCTAAACCCTAAACCCTAAACCCTAAACCCTAAACCCGAAGTCATGTTTAGGCGCGACTATGGGTTCATAGGGTCGAGGCTACTGGATGGCGGCGTGGAGCAACCCGGGAACATCCGAACACCGATAGAAGACCATCTTAGGGTTTAGGGTTTAGGGTTTAGGGTTTGGGGTTTAGGGTTTAGGGTTTAGGGTTTAGGGTTTAGGGTTTAGGGTTTAGGGACTCTGTAGCTTGCAATTGGTAGTAACAAGGCCAACTTACAATTGAGGGCTTTCGCTGCAACCTATACAAGGCCAGTTCAAAGGGGATTATCAGCAGGACTACTCGTATTTTAGGGAAAAACCTATACAAGGCCAATCAGAATGGGATTCTATTAGAGATCACAACCCCTAAGCCTTAAACCCTAAACCCTAAACCAGTTGGAACGTCCCATGACCCATTCAAAGTCGACTTCTGGCAGATTGCATATGACCCCACCCACCCGAAGCCTCGAAGGACCGCAAACCCTTAGGGTTTGGGGTTTAGAGAGTTTAGGGTTTAGGGTTTAGGGTTTAGGGTTTAGGGTTTAGGGTTTAGGGTTTAGGGTTTAGGGCTTAGGGTTTAGGGCTTAATGTTGCACCCGCTTTAGTATCGGCCCCCTCTTTAAAGACAAATTGGCTGAATTATTCAGGACACCCTGACTGTTTGGGAGTCCCTCTTTAAAGACAAATCGTCCGGGCGCCGTAAGAAAATTCCACGTGCCGCGCCTTTAAAAAAGATAGCCGGGCATCGCGAACTTATCTAAGCTCCTCCCTATTAAAATCATATGAACCCCCGGGGCCGTGTAATCAGGATCCCATCCACGCCTCGACTGTTCAGGGGGGGGGGGGGGGGGGCCCCCCACACTAAAGAGGGTGCAACATTAGGGTTCAAGAGTTTAGGGGTAGAGGGGTCCTACTTGGAGGTTCATGGGTAGTCATAAGCTTGGGGATAGAAGCTACCTGGAACCTCACCCTTCAACGATTCTGAGGCTGTTCGGGCCGGGCCGAGACAGTCGCATGCAGTGTTTACAAATAGGAGCCAAAGGCCCAAGCTAACCCGGAAATCTCTGAAGCTCTACAACCCCCGAAACCCAAAACCCTAAACCCAATTTGTCTACACCCGCAGCCCCGTAAACCCTAAACCCTAAACCCTAAACCCTACACCCTACACCCTACACCCTACACCCTAAACCCTAAACCCTAAACCCTAAACCCTAAACCCTTAAAAACCCTAAACCCTGGACCAACTTGGGTTCCTTCGGCCGCTTCCGCCGTGGCCGGAGCAAAGGCTGCCGACGGGGACGGTCGCGGCTTCCGTGCCTCCAGACCAAGGCGTTGTGGCTTTAGGGTTTAGGGTTTAGGGCTAGGGTTTAGGGTATACGGGTCAGGCGGGTTTAGGTTTTTCTTTTTCAGGGTTTCCTTATGGTTTAAGGTTTCCAACAGTGGGACGCTATGGGTTCGATGGGTTAGGTTGTAGGGTTTGTTAGAGTTTAAGGAATGAGTTGAGGGCTAGGGATTGCTTCTGCAGGTTTATACTGGAGGATTCAGATCCGGTTTGGGAATGTACAAGGCTGCGGGTTTATGGCCGATGGCGTAGGACACCCCAAAGCTCGAAGACCCCAACCAAGCCCTGAATCAGGGAGCCTAACTCCAAGCAAAAGCGGATTTCGGGTTTACGGTTTAGGGCTTAGGGAGGGTGCCACAAGCCATACTGACCCTCCCATGGGTGTGTTTTGGGGATTTCTAGGAAGGACTCTCGCTTAGAATACCATGACTCCGACTTTTAGCCCAAGAAAGCCTGCATAGGACAGTTGCAAAGCCCAAATATTGCATGGGCCTCAAAACTTTGGAGGCTTCACTGCTCCATGGGTGTAGGGTGTGGGGTAGATACACCGAAGAAACCAAGGACACATACTGTGCTGTGCCGGCAGAAACTCAAACTTCAGTGCGCCAAACCAACAACAACAACGTAAACCCCAAATCCTAAACCCTAAGCCCTAGACCCTAAAACTGGAAAATTTCGCGAACCAGGTTTCGGGAAGGTGAGTTCGACACCAATCGGCGCTAACTCCTCATATAGGGGTTGGGGGTGCATGCTTGTTTCTTTTTGAGAGTGAACAGCCGTCTGAAGGCTCTGCGCACCCACAGCGGCGAGCAAGCATGTTTTACGGCTTGTTAAGGGTCAGCCTCCCACCGATGAGCTTCCATGAGGGCGAGATTCCCGAGAGATTCCCGAAGAACCTGGCCAGAAGCAACCCTACCCCCCTATAGCCTTGCCATGGCTGACCTTAACTTCCAAGTTAAGCGCTTGCAGCGGGCTCACGCGCATTTGCTCCAGTCGCACCCGCGGTTTATGGTTGGAACCGAAAGCACCATAAATGTCAGTGAAAACCCTTAAGTTCGACACAGTGTGTTGGGAGTATTGTCACTAATTTTGCAGGGCCTTTTTTCTACGAACTTTTCGGGCGGCCACCGCCATGCGAAATGCATTATTTGTCATTTCTTTCTGGTTGGCGTTGGTTCAAGGCGAAGAAAAGCTAAGGTCAGTGAAAACCTTAAGTTCAACATGGGGTGTTGGAACTATTGTAGCTGATTTTGCCAGACAGATTTTTGCGACTAACTTTTCGGGTGCCACACCCATGCGGAATTCACCGTCTGTCCTTTTTTCTGGTATGTGATGGCTCGAGCCGAAAAACAGTCAAGGCCGGTGAAAGCCCTTAAGATCAACCCGCAAACAGTCATTGCCCATTTTCAGCGCCGAAAACGGTCACCCGACAACCGAAAAAAAAAAACAGTAGAGAAACCACCCCGGAAAGTTAGCAACAAGAAGTTCAACGCCCGGTGTTGATCTTAAGGGCTTTCACCGGCCTTGACTGTTTTTCGGCTCGAGCCATCACATACCAGAAAAAAGGACAGACGGTGAATTTCGCATGGGTGTGGCACCCGAAAAGTTAGTAGCAAAAATCTGTCTGGCAAAATCAGCTACAATAGTTCCAACACCCCATGTTGAACTTAAGGTTTTCACTGACCTTAGCTTTTCTTCGCCTTGAACCAACGCCAACCAGAAAGAAATGACAAATAATGCATTTCGCATGGCGGTGGCCGCCCGAAAAGTTCGTAGAAAAAAGGCCCTGCAAAATTAGTGACAATACTCCCAACACACTGTGTCGAACTTAAGGGTTTTCACTGACATTTATGGTGCTTTCGGTTCCAACCATAAACCGCGGGTGCGACTGGAGCAAATGCGCGTGAGCCCGCTGCAAGCGCTTAACTTGGAAGTTAAGGTCAGCCATGGCAAGGCTATAGGGGGGTAGGGTTGCTTCTGGCCAGGTTCTTCGGGAATCTCTCGGGGATCTCGCCCTCATGGAAGCTCATCGGTGGGAGGCTGACCCTTAACAAGCCGTAAAACATGCTTGCTCGCCGCTGTGGGTGCGCAGAGCCTTCAGACGGCTGTTCACTCTCAAAAAGAAACAAGCATGCACCCCCAACCCCTGCGTCAGGAGTTAGCGCCGGTTGGTGTTGAACCGACGTGCTCCGCGAAATTTACCACCTAAAACCCGAAACCCAAAGCCCTGAAAACCCTAAACCCTAAACCCTAAACCTTAAACCCTAAACCCTAAACCCTAAACCCTAAACCCTAAACCCTAAACCCTGAGCCCTGAACCCTGAACCCTGAACACCCTAAGCCCTGAACCCTGAAAACCCAGACTCGAAGCCTCATAGGAGCCCTGTGGTTCCTTCACCCGGCCTCGAGTGAGGCTCCATTGCCGTTGCAGTTGGAGCCATTCGTCTCCTTCGTCTCCTTGGCCCCGAAATCTAGTCTAGGGTTTAGGGTTTAGGGTTTAGGGTTTGGGGTTTGGGGTTTAGGGCTTAGGGTTTAGGGTTTAGGGTTTAGGGTTTAGGGTTTAGGGATACTAGAGCTATTAGGGAGGGGGGGGGGGTCTTATCGTTTGTCCGAACAAACAGCCGAAGGGTCTTAAGGGTTGAGGGTTCAATAATGAGGGGTTCAGCCTTTGGGGTTTAAGGTTGAGAGTGAGGGTTCAGAGGTAGGTCCTAAAGCATTTGTGCTTGAACTAGGCTCTAACTGGTGAAGGTTGAGGGGAACTGAAGGGAGGCCTCATTAAGATTTTAAGTTTTAGGACGACTGGGTGTGACGCTGTGGAGGCATGCTCTCCTGCCGAACCCAGATCGCTTTGACGCGGCAATGCTCGTTGATACGACCGGGTTTTCCAGGGGCTACGAAGCGATTCCGCATGCCGCTCTGCACCGCCAGAAGATAGTTGCACTCCAGTTCCAGGAAACAAGCAGTGGCCTCCCTCTCCAGACCCATTGCGGCTTGTTGCGTGCTGCCGTGTCCAAACACACCATGACAGGACATGTGTCCATTGCAGGACATGATCATGCCATTGTCTGTGAAGACACCGGTGCTTCCCGGGCAGTAGCGACTTGGACCTATCAAAATGGTCAGGTCGGAAGCGTGGAAAATCGTGGCTACTTCGCCTGGGGTACACCAACACTCCCCCCCCCCCCCCCCCCCCCCCCCCCCGCGCTGGTAAGGGGCGACTAGGGTTGTTGATGTTAGGGGTTTCAGTTGGGATCGCACCCTGCAGGCCAGCTGGATTGCGCCAGCATCTCCATGTACAGGCGGTCAAAGGGCCTGGAACCCTAAACCCTAAACCCTAAACCCTAAACCCTAAACCCTGGAGGAGAAGCCCCACCCTGAAAGAATGACCCCAGACGGGGAGGAGAGGAGCCCAGAGGGGCACTGGAACCTTACAGGAATGCCCCAGCCCCTAAACCCTAAACCCTAAACCCTAAACCCTAAACCCTAAACCCTAAACCCTAAACCCCAAGCCCTAAACCCTAAACCCTAAACCCTAAACCCTAAACCCTAAACCCTAAACCCTAAGCCGTTTTCCAGCCCTAAAACCCCATAAACCCTAATCCAGAGACCCGAGTCTATGCCTCTAAGGCACAAGGGACCTTTAACATAACCCTCAACCCTACACCCTACACCCTACGAACCCTAAAAACTTATAAACCCTGAGCCCTAAACCCTAAACCCTAAACCTTGGAGGAGAAGACCCACCGCATGGCCTCATGAACTTGGGCGGTTTAGGGTTTAGAGGCTTAGGGCTTAGGGTTTCGGATCCTAAGCCCTGAGCCGGAGACCCGAAACCAGAATCAGGGCTAAGGGTGTTTCGCTTCAGGCTTTTTGGGCGTGTTTTTTCGGGTGGAGGGTTATAGTGGTGAATTTTGGGGTGTGCGTGGAGTCCTGGGGTACGTACAAGTGGTTACATGTTCACAGGGGCGTGTGAGCTCTAAGCCCCCTCCCGCAAACCTCAGTCCTAAACCCTAGACTAAACCCTAAACCCTCAATCCTAAACCCTACCCTAGGACCCTAACCCTCAATCCTAAACCCTACCCTAGACCCCAAACCCTAAACCTGAAACCCTAAACCCTAAATGCCCAAAACCCACTCGCTGGCTGAGATCCCGAGCTGTCATGCTGTGCAGGCCAAACTTCTTTGGAGCCTCTTGAGATTCTTGCTTCGGTTCTGAGATCCTCTACTGACCTAAACCCTAAACCCTAAACCCTAAACCCTAAACTCTGAACCCTAAACCCTAAACCCTAAACCCTAAACCCAAATAAGGAGGCCCCCGAGCCCTTCATTTACTCGCATCTCGCCTCAGGTTTAGGGGTTTGGGGTTTAGGGTGGGTCTCAAGTACTGGCCCCTAAGCCCCGTTTGGGGTTTAGGTTTTAGGGTGCAGGGTTCAGGCTTTGGGGGTTTAGGGCCCCTCAATCCTAATTTTTGATGTACCTGCTTTATACCCCCAAAGTTCCTCTCTTCTCCCCAAAAAAACGGGTAAGGACTCCTTACCCATTCATCATCGTCCCGTGGAGGTTTTAGGGTTTTTGGATTTAGGGCTCAGGGCTATCGATCCCCTTTGAGGGTACAACGCATACACTTGGACCCCTTTGGTGGCACCCTCGGGTTCGGGGACGCGCTTTGAAGATCCCCTAGGTATACCAGGCCCAACAGGTAAAAGGGGCGCCTTTTGTGGCTTAAAAGGGGTCTTATGAGGGAACCAAAAACCCCCCCCCAAAAAGGAATAAGTGACTAGTCGGGTCCTAGTAGAGTAAGAGCCATGCTTTGGGGGTTCAGGGTTCAGGTTTTTATCTCAAGGTTGTGGGGGGGTAAGGTTGCAGGTCTTAGGGTTCAGGCCACCCTAAACCCTGAACCCTAAACTCTAAACCCTAAACCCTAAACCCTGAGCCCTAAGCCCTAAACCCTGACTAAACCCTAAACCCTGACTAAACCCTAAACCCTAAACCCCAAACCCCAAACCCTAAACCCTAAACCCTAAACCCCAAACCCTAAACCCTAAACCCTAAACCCTGAACGAACAATGGCATTGGCATCGCACCTCCGTATGTGGCGCGATGATCACGACGAGCGAACGCACCTGATTCGGACGCCCGACGACCTTGCGAGCACAGGGGCCCTAAACCCTAAACCCAAAACCCGAAACCCTAAACCCTAAACCCTAAAGCCAAGTTTAGGGTTGAGGGTCTAGGGTCTCGGGTGTATGGCTGGATTGCAATTTAAAGTGGTCCAGCGATCTGCAAACGCGAGTACCCCCAAAGTTCAAGGGTTTTAGGGTTTGGGTTTTGGGCGCCAGTAGTAATACGGCCGCCCTAAACCCTAAACCCCCTTCTTGAGCAAAAGGGCACCACCACTTAGAGAAACGACCCCTGACCCTCCCCTGCCCTCCGACCACTGTGGGAACTCAGCAATGTCACAACCCATCATAGCAAACAAACCCGAAACCCGAAACGCGAAACCCTAAACCCTAAACCCTAAACCCACATATGCTTTGGTTTCCCGGCCTTCACAACTTTGTCCTCTGCGTACATGAGTATCCGAGCTTCACCTTGGGTTCAGGGTTGAGCTTTTAGGGGTTTAGGGTTTAGGATTAAGGGTTTAGGGTTCGAAGGGTTTTGGGGTCCAGGGCTCTGGGGCTGAGAGTTCAGGCTTTGCCGCTAGTAGTCCAAACATATCCATACCCTCCCTAGCCCCTGTTTAGGGTTTAGGGTTTCGGGTCAAGGATAGTGCTTCAAGCACCCGAAGATGGTTTTTAGACACCCAGCGATTCAAAAAGGGGTTGCGTGGGTGCCGGTGAGGATTGCTAGTGCCTCGTGGTTGAACCTGAAACATCAGCATGGCAGGTCCCAAGCTGAGGGTTTAGGGTTCAGTTCAGGGTTCAGGGTTTCGGGCACAAATAGGGGCGATCTTACTCGTCAGACTGCAGTCCCGAGACCTTGTCCTGGATTTCAAGCAGCTTGAAACCACTTCGTCGCCCATGTCCCCCAGACTCGCGGCTACGTGAAGGTCTTCAAGTTCCAGGGCTCAGGGACCCTCAGCCCCAAACCTTGAACGCTGAACACACTCCAAGCTCAGCCACATGGGGACCGATCTAATCTAAATGATGGGTTCATGTGGGCTTCCTGCAAAGAGACGTACCGCAAAAACGGCACAGACGCCCAGAAATGAGATCCATCTTCAGGTGAGGAGATTACTTGACGATTGATGGGATTGCAACGGCTGCCCCTGTTACAAGTGGCTTATAAACCCAACTACTTAGGGTAGGTACATTGGCCGCTCCGTAGGGCTATAAAACCCAAGGGCCCATTCGGCAGACCCCTTAAAAGAAGGTAAGTCAACACCATGAAGGGACCACGAAAAGTCCTTAGATTCCCGTATTGACCAAGACCCGGTTTGCTTTTGATATTCAGACGCTCAAGTCGAAGGAAAGAGTGTCCTTGTTGTCATTACCATCGCGATTTGTCGGGGTGGCCTTCTTAAAGCAGGAACCCTGCTATACTCTCTCTCTCTCTGCATATGTATGTATATATATACACATATACATACGTGTTTTTGTAGCCTAAAAGGGGGTAACTTGACCCCCCCCCCTCCCCTGGGTGAAGCTAAGCACTGAGTCGTTGGCTGCTCGGCTGCTTCCAGACTCTAGCACCATCCGGCTCAATGGTCGCCTGAACGAAACATCTACTTGGATGTTCATGGACGCGTAGTAACTGCACTTATCTGGCGCTTGTAACCATATTAGGGGCTTAAAGTGCACTTCTAATGGGCTAATTAGTATCCTTAACCTCCAACTACTATAGGGACAGGCTGGGACAAGCTTTTCAGGGAGGAGGCTCGGGTGTTGAGGTCTAACCACGCAGGAACTCTGCTCTGTTCTCAATATTTTGAGGTCTATCCGACATATGTCCTAAATCCAACAGCCCAAAGCCTGAACTCCTAAACAGCGGGTTTCAGGAAAGGAGGGGTTTAGGGTTCAGGGTTTAGGGTTTAGGTTGGTCTTAGGGTGTCAGCTCCTCAACTAGGGTACCTGATTGGGGTCGGAATCCTACTATTTGGGGGTCTATTTTAGGGGTCCCCTATTTTCGTAAACCCCTAAATCTGCGAGGCACCCAAGCCCGGCCCACCCCCTAATTAAGCCCGAACCCTAAACCCCAACCCTAGACCCTAGACCCTAGACCCTAAACCCTAAACCCTGAACCCTAAACCCTGAACCCTGAACCCCAAACCCTAAACAAACCCCGCTCTCCTTGCCAAGCTGTGGCTCCATCTTTCCGATGAACTCCTCGACCGTGCAGGAGAAGGATCGCCTCAAAGGAAAGTATATAGATAGACATAGATAGATAGACATAGATAGATAGATTAGATAAACAAATATATATATATATATATACATAACCCTAGAGTAGGGCCTAAAACCCCCTAACCCTTACATGGTCTTAGATTTCTGGGTTTGGGGTTTGGGCTGATGGGATTTCGACGTCGGGTTTGAGGGTGTACTTGAAGGTTCATGGTTAGTTATGACTCATGACTGGGGCCGTAAATCGTCAGCCCAAGTATACCCTTGTTTACCTTAACCACTACTTCTGTGGGCGGCACAGGCAACGGAATAAAACCAATAATCACTAAGCCAACCGCTACTTATGAGGGCGGCACGAGAACCCGAACCAGGAGTTGTCACGAGTGCGGGAACATGAGCACGTGCTTGGCAAGGAGATGATGCGATGAGCAGTCCAGACGTTTAAGACGACCAGTTGGCAACTGACGAGCCCCAGGAAACCGAATAAGGATTGCTGCCAGGCAGGCGCATCGAACCACGTTTACCTTGATTCCTTCATTTCCTCAATAGCTAATCATGAGCCTCCAAGTATAATTCACTGCTCAACAGCACTGCTGCCCCCCCCAAGCCCCAAAACCACAAGCCCGAATCCCAAAACCCTAAACCTTAATTAACCCTGACTGTTTTGAATGTTTTGGGTTTGGTGACGTGTCGTTGAGGGCCGTCAGGGTGTCGGGCCTGGGAATGAGCTTTTTGTTCGGAGTCTGGTCTGGGGTGGTCGGGGTGTCCCTTGGCCTGTTTACGGCACATGTGTGCTGCTACTTTTTTGTGTGCATGCACATAAACAAGTAGCAGCACACATGTCAGAGTTCTTTCTTGGAGTTTACCCTAAACCCTAAACCCTAAACCCTAAACCCTAAACCCTAAACCCTAAACCCTAAACCCTAAACCCTAAACCCTAAACCCTAAACCCTAAACCCTAAACCCTTTGGGGGGGGGGGGGGGGGGGGGGGCGGGAGCCTCAGGGTTTAAGGCCTAGAGCTGAGCGTGCTGCTCGACGATCTGCAATTGTCCAGCCTTAGATGCACTACATCGTTTAGGGTTTAGGGTTTAGGGTTTAGGGTTTAGGGTGTAAACGCCGTTGCAACAGTGATGTACGGTTTGGGCTTTGCCTGGTATAGAGCTTTGCAACATAGAGGTTGACGCTGAAGTTGCAAACCATGACAGCAATTTAGGGTTTAGGGAATGGGGACGAGTCGCGATTGAAAATGTAGGGTGTTGCTGCGTACTTGCGAACCTGCAAGCCCCATCCCTCGGTAAGCCAAGCCCCAAATACCGTAAGGTTTATTAGAGCTTAGCCTTTAAGGGGTTTGTAATGGCTATAAGGGTCGAAGCAAAGTTGCATGGTCCCTGAATATGATCCCTTATTCTGTACAGGGTTCTGAAGTATGGGCCCTGAGATTTCATGGGTATATCCCCCCACATTCGGGGCCCGTTTAAGGCTTTAGGGCCGAAAAGGGTTTGTGGGTTTAGGGTTCAGGGTTTAGGGGTTTGAAGGGTTGTGGGGGCTTTGAAGATGTGGAGCTTGCAGATGGTTTTGGTTTGGGAGACTAAGAAGGGGGCATTAATATTTAGAACAGGGTTTTGGGGGTGATTATCGTGCAATGATAAAGGGACCCAAAGGGAAAATATTGGAAATTAGTCCGACCCCTATATTAGTTTGGGCTGGGTTTAGGTGTCAGGAGAAAAAATGGTTTCAGGAATTGGGGTTTGGGCTTTTAAGGATAGGGCTTGGGGTTAAGGGTTTAGGACGTTTTGGCCGACCAGCAAATGTAAACCTTAAATCCGGAACCCTAAACCCTAAACCCCGAACCCCAAACCCTAAACCCTAAACCCGAAACCCTAAACCCTGAAGCCTATTCCTAAACCCTAAACCCTAAACTGAGGACTGGCGGTTTCCGGTCAGCTCTTTGGGCCTGCAGCCCTAAACCCTAAACCCTGAACCCTAAACCCTAAACCCTAAACCCTAAACGATGGGGTCAGGAAGACGCCATGGGTACTGAGCCCGGCGCACGCTCGAAGGTTGCCTCTCATCAAGGTTTCAGGGTTTAGGGTTTTGGGGTTTAGCGGGTTTAGGGGTTTAGGGGTTTGGGGTTTAGGGTTTGGGGTTCAGGGTTTAGGGCTCAGGGTTTAGAGTTCATAAGGGTTTAGGGTTTAGGGTACAGGGTTTAGAATTAAGGGTTTAGGGTTTAGGGTCTAGGGTTTTTTGTTTTGGGGTTTAGGGTTAAGGGGTGTACTGGGAGGTGCATTGGCAAGCCACAACACCCCTTACTGCACGCAATACACGAATCTCTCCCCACTCCCTTAACTCAGACGTGGCCCTCCCTTCTGCGACCCCAAAACCCCAAACCCTAAACCCCAAACCCTACTGTTTGTGCAGACCTCCTGCTGGCTGAGTGACTTTAGATTTTGGGGTCTAGGGTTTGTCGGGCGTCAACAGCTGAAGCCCGGAAAGGAACTCCTGCATGAATTGTTGCGAGACAGCAAAGGATGCTCTAGGCCAGTTTTACTTCTGGCTCTCACTCTGCTGAGAATAGGGTTTAGGGTTTAGGGTTTAGTAATTTAGGGCTTTTGTACACAAAGTGCACAAACAGCGCCCCAAACGCCGGGCCCGCTCGTGCCAGATGCCAATGACCACAGCAACCACACGTGAAAACCGCGCTATGCAGGACCGCATAAACACTAGGCCCTAAGCCCTAAACCGACCAAACCCTAAAACCCCTAAGCCCCAAAACTCCCCCTAAACCCAGACCCCCACCACCTTTAAACCCCCAAAAGCCCCCTTACTCCAAAATAGAAGAAGGCCACCAGAACAAAAGCGACTAACGAAAGCAAGCCCCCCCTCCCTAAACCCTAAGCCCAAAACCATAAGCCCTAATTAAACCCTAAACCCTAACCTAAAGACCCTAGACCCTAGACCCCAGACCCTAGACCCTAGCTAGACCCTAAACCCTAGACCCTAACCCCCCCCCCCCCCCCAAAAAAAAAAAAAAAAAAAAATTAAAAAACTACACCCCCCCCCCCCCCAAGACCCTCAACCGCCTGATGGCGCGCTCGCAGCCGTAGGCCGCCACCACAGCCTGCCCAGGCATGTTTGAGTTTCGGGTTTAGGGTTTGGGGTTTAGGGTCTAGTGTCTAGGGTCAAGGGGTCAGTTAGGATGGAAAGGAACTTTTGCAGAAATTTGGAAGTATTGAAAAGGGCACCTTAAGGGGCTTCAAGGGCTTCTAGGGCTTGAGGCCCGCAATAATTTCGGCATGGATTAGGGCTTCGAGATCAGGCTCATCCAGCTTCATGTCATACGGAGTGTTCTTACAGTGGCATTCTGAAGACTCATCAACTCGAACAATCTCTTACGGTGTGTTGGATGAGGGGCGATCAGCAACTCTGTTGGCGAGGTCAAAATGATTCGTTTTTTCAAGAGGGATATACTGCCACCAACATCCAGCACACGACTTGAATTCTTGTACTTGGCTTCAAGTTCCGGAACCAAAGTGCCATTGAACATTCTCTCACCAGAGGGTAGCACAGTGCCAGAGTTTTCTTAGGGTTTTGGGGTTGGGAACTGAGGGTGAGCAGTAGGGGATCCCAGGGACCTTCAGAAGAGCTTTCAACTGCTGTTGAGTCCTAGAATCTTGAACCCACACACAAATCTTATTCGGGTAACCAATAAGTTCCAATAGGGGTGGCTCCGCAAGAGTGGAGGGCGGGGGGCTTGGAGTGTAGAGACCATGGCGCTTCTAATGGCAACCAAACCCTAAATCCTCTCAGCATATGGACCATAAAGAAGTGTTAGTTTAGGGTTTAGGCATGTTTGGGGGTTGCAAGGGGATTCGGGGTTCCTCGTATCTTCCCCGTATGCAACGCCTGGTCCGTCACTGCCGGCCGTCGTTCGGACCTGTCCAGCTTGGCCGGGTTCATGACGAACGAGAGAGAGAGAGAGAGAGAGAGAGAGAGAGAGAGAGAGAGAGAGCGCGAGCCCAAACCAATACCCCTTACCGGCAATTTAAAGGGACATTCCTTGAATAGCATGCGGATCCTATGTGGATTGAGTAAGAATAGCTAACTCCTGTTTCAATCCCTGCATTCAAGACGTACACCTGAAGTCAAATCAGGATCATATCGGTGTGTCGTGTTCCAAGCCACGGATCATGGCCAAGTGTGCCTAAACTCCACAGCCAAAATGCCGCATGGTCAGATATCACAAGAGGTGTCCCCTAAACCCTAAACCCTAAACTCTAAACTCTAAACCCTAAACCCTAAACCCTAAACCCTAAATTGAAAGGCCCGTGACTTGGAGATCTGGGTCCTAGGATTTCGGACACCAATTATCAGTGCAGGTATATTTGGGATAAGGGTTTAGGGTTTAGGGTTCAGGGTTTAGGGTTTAGGGTTTAGGGTTTAGAGGTACCACAAACCTCCAAGTTGGAACCCGGCCTGAGCGGGGGTGGGGGGGTGCGGCTATCGTCTAGTTGGTGTAGGAGTTTAGGGCTTGAGGATGTAAACCCTAAACCCCAAACCCGCAACTTTCGGGGCTGACCACCCTAAACCCTAAACCCTAAACCCTGAACCCTAAACCCAAAACCCAAAACCCTAAACCCCGCAGCACCTTTATCCTCCCCGGACGACTTGCGCTTGGCGGCGCTGGTCTTGGTCGGGCAGCGGGCCGGGTCGGGCTAGGGTTTAGGGGTTTAGGGGTTTAGGGGTTTAGGGTTTAGGGTTTAGGGTTTAGGGTTTAGGGTTTAGGGTTTAGGGTTTAGGGTTTAGGGTTTAGGGCTTAGGGCTTCGGGCTTAGGGCTGAGGATTTTTGGGACCCCTACTGGCTCTAAACAGCACCAGAACCCAAAGCCTTCGATCCCCAAACTGACCTGTTAACAGACTATGGTCTGGGTGTAGGGTTCTGGACTGAGGTTTTCCAGTTAGGGCGCCGGGTGTAAGGTCTAAATTTGGGTTTAGTTGTGGTTAGAACCCGCAAAGGAGGTGGTTTTCAATTGCGGGTCCTACTTCGGCCTCAAAAGGGAATATGCTGTCCAAAGAGGGTTTAGGGTGATAAGGGTTTGCAGTCTACAGTGGCTCATATGGCTTCGGGTGGAGACCAACATCGATGGACAGCTGGCTCGCAACCCTCAACCCTCAACCTTCAACCCTCAACCCTCCTCAACCCTCAACCCTCAACCCTAGAATAACCCTAAAATAACCCTAAACCCTTAACCCTCAACCCTAAACCCTGAACCCTAAAACCCTAAACCCTAAACCCGGGGGCCGGGCGTCTGCGGCTGCCACGCCGGCATCCGCCACTCCGTCAGTTGTGGCTCAGCATTGGCCTCCACAGCTAAGAGTCAGAGAGCGATCTCCTAAGGGCTTAGGGATGTTAGGGTTTAGGCTCTGGGGTTAGGGTTTAGGGAACCCTAAACCCTACACCCTAAACCCTAAACCCTAAACCCCAAACCCCAAACCCTAAACCTTCGGGGCTTAATTGAGGATGTTTAGGGTTTGATTAGGGCTTAGGGATGCTTGGGACGTTGGGGCCCCGAGCCCTCGCCTCCACGGCCCCGAATCAAAAACTCACAAAACCAAAAAGTTCGAATCCACTAAGTTAAGCCATCCTGGCATTCCTTGCAGAACTCAAGGCACATACTGAAGAGTTGGCCGAGGACCACATTCCGGTCAAACTGGTGGGCCCCTAATACAGGCCTGCTGGCCTTTGTGGAAAGAATACGGGATTCAGGGCTTCGGGTTTAGGGTTTAGGGTTTAGGAACAGGAGTATGAGGACCCCACAGTTGGGGAATTATAGAACAAGAAACCCTTAGCACTAAGCCCTGATGAAGCCCTTCTAAACTCTAAATCCTATAAGCGACCAAATTCCTAAAACCCCAAAACCCCAAAACCCCAAAACCCCAAAACCCCAAAACCCCAAAACCCCAAAACCCCAAAACCCCAAAACCCCAAAACCCGAAAACCCTGAAACCCTGAAACCCTAAACCCTAAACCCCTAACCCCTAACCCCTAAACCCTAAACCCTAAACCCTAAACCCTAAACCCTAAACCCTAAACCCTAAACCCAACTCAACCCCGGGACCTCGCCCTCCTTCCGCAGGCATCCGATCTTGGCCCATTCCGCCGGGTCTAGATCGGCCTGCGCGGACCACTTTGGATGTATACTAGCAGGGTTCAGGGTTTAGGGTTTAGGGTTTAGGGTTTAGGGTTTAGGGTTGGGATGTTCCCCCTTATACTAGCAGTCCTTAATTGGGATTAGAATCGAGGGTACTAGAATCCCTATTTAGGACTGTTAGTAGAAGGGGGCACATCCCAAGCTATGGGGAGGTCGGGGGTATAGGGTTTAGGGTTTAGGGTTTAGGGCTTTAGGGAGTTTAGGGCTTAGGGCTTACTGTTCTGACCCAAGGCGAATTTGGGGCTCAGGGTTTAGGGGTTTAGGGTGTGGGTTGGGGTGTTCCGCACTAACAGTCACTATATCGTACCCCCTATTATATTGCCTATTGAGGACTGTTAGTATATTAATCCCTATTAAGGATTGTTAGTATAAGGGGGAACATCCCAAGCTTAGGGAGGTGGGGTTTAGCTTAGGAGTTTTGGGGGCTTCAAAGCTTAGCACTTTGGGTGGGAGACTACAGGGTTTATGCTACTATTTGCTTAAGAACCCGCAAAACATTAAAAAAAAACAAAAAAGCAATCCGTAAATGATCCTTATAAGGAAGACTCTTTCTGATTTTCTGGAGGGGGGGGAAGCAAGTAGAAGTATTGGGTTTACCCGGAGGGTCCGTTTGTAGTACTATTATTGAATTAGGTACCCCAAAACCCTATTTTAGTATGGTTTTTGGGTACCTAGTACCATAATAATAATACAAATGGACCCTGTGGGTTTAGTGTTGTAAAAGTTAGTAGGTGCGTAGGCCTCTTTAACTGTTGGGCATCCCGCATGGTGCAGGAACTATATATAATATTCCTCGATCTATATATAAAAGTTCTCAGAACTATATATAAATTTGCCAGCAGATGATTTGAAATCGTTCCAGATAGTCCGGAACCGCTCGGAACCGTTCTGGACTATATATGAACCCGACGTTTATAAATAGCTCGGAACGGTTCCGAGCGGTTCCGGCCGACTTATAACCACTGTGGGGCTATTGTTGCGGCGTTGATATGAGCGATGGTCGATGATGGTGTCTCGCAGCACAGTTATAAACAGTCCAGAACGGTTCCGAGCGGTTCCGGACGATGTATAGATAGCACGGCCAGTTTTATAAATAGTTCGGGGGAACCTTATATCTAGTCCGGACGTATGAAATCTGTCCCAACAGACCCATGCCCATAAAGAGGCCCATGCGCCCATTAATGTAAAAGGTTTAGGGTTTAACGGTTGGGGGCTCGGGGAAGGATTGGGGGTTGGGGCTTTGGTTTGCAAAACGCACCAAAAACCCTATAAACCCTAAACCCTATAGAACCCTAAACCCCCGAACTCTGTTCGGACTTCTTCGGGCCCGTGCCTCCTCGCAGAGCCACTCGGCTTTCATCTTACCCTCGGAGCAGTAGGTGAAGCGCATCACGCCCACCTGAGGGGTTTAGGGTTTAGGGTTTGGGGCTTAGGGTTTCGTAGGGCTTCGGGTTTAAAAACCAAAAACTACGATCCTAAGCCCCAAACTGTAGCAGGTTTGGGGGCCGTAAAAGATTACTTTTACGTTTTTTATAAGGATTTGTTTAGGGGATTAAGGGCAATAATAAGCAACAATTGTGTTCAAACCTGCGCTGTAAACCCGAAACGAATTCTCCGAGCGACTGGATTGAATGGGCGCCGTTCTGGTCCACGGAGGGGCAGCGGCGCGACCTATTTTGAAGCCCCGAAACCCTATAAAGGGCGGGGGATTAGGGTTTAGGGTTTAGGGCTGAACCTACACCCCGAAACCCTAAAACCCCTACAAGGGGACAAGAATGCAGGTTCCAGGTTTACACAAGCTGGAAACTGCAACAGATCGATACAGTTGCTCGCGTCGAATACCAAACAGAAGATGTGATAAATTAAATATCTGATCGCAGAGCTGAGGCTTTAGGCATTTAGGACTCCGGGTTTACGGTTTAGTGCGGCGTTTGGGGAGGGGTTGGGGTTCGGCCCAAACCCAAGGCCGGGACCCTAAACCCTAACCCGAAAGCCCGAGACTTTACGGAAGAAGCCCAACCCGGGCCAAACCAAGGAAGGGTTTAGGGTTTGGGCTTTAGGTTTCAGGCTTTTTTTCTTCGGGTTTACATCTTCGAAGTCTGTCACGTCTGGAAGATGGACGTTGTGCATTTGGGTTGGTGCTTGTAGACTCGTAGTTTTCGCAAGTGCATCAATGGTGAGCCCTAAACCCCCACAGCCCCGAAACCCAGAAACACCGAACCCGCAAAAAGCCATAAACCCCAATCCCTGAACCCCAAAATCCTGAACACTAATAATGTCAGCGCGTAAAAAGCAGAAAAACACAACCCCAAACAAGCACAGCAAAAACACCAGCAAGCATGCAGGTTTATATCACATATGCACAGCCCTAAATAACAAACCAGAGAAATATGCTAACTACCTATTTGCTTGCTTATGTGCTTTTCCTACATCCTGAACGCCCTAAACCCTGCACCCTGCACCCTAAACCGTAAACCCATGTGATATACTCAACTCTTTGATCCATTCTATCTTTACCATCTTTGGCGTTTTTAACTACCCTGACCGTAAACCCTAAACCCTAAACCCTAAACCGTAAACCCCATGTAACATACAGATTTCCAGGGACGGGGGCCCGATCGCAGAGCGGCATTCGCACCTGGGCTCTTCGAGGAGTGCGGGCTGGGACCCAACTTGGCGCCCCTTGGCAAGAACCCCTAAACCCTAAACCCTAAACCCTAAATCCTAAACCCTAAACCCTAAACCCTAAACCACTAAACCCTGAACCCCTAAACCCCTAAACCCCAAAGCCTAAACCCCTGAGCCCCTAAGCCCTAAACCCAAACGCAAAGCCTCCAGGGCTTAGGGCTCAAGGCTTACGGTAAAAATTAGGGCCTATACCTGGGTCACGCATTGCCAAACAACCCTCAACCCTCAACCCCACAACTGCTGGATTAGGGTTGAGGGGTTTAGGGTTTAGGGTAGACCCTAAACCCTGAACCCTGAAACCCTAGACCCAAGAAACCAAAAAGCCTGAAACCCTGAAATGGGTGTTAGGGCTTATACGGGTATGGGGGATGAATGCCGCAGCTGACCCTGTAGCCTGCGAGTTCTTAACAGCTCTAGTTATGCCCCTAATTTCGGAAACCCCCAAATGGAAATGGAACCCGCCATGGTGGGTCATTGTACGGCTCGGTGAAGGTCCCGGCGGCCGACGCTGTGACGTGCTCCAAACCCGACCAGCGTGGGTTCTCCACATCCTCCTGAAATCCTAAACCCCAAACCCCGAACTTAAACCCCACGTAGAACCCGGAAGTGTTATACGAGTCTCCTGAACCGGGTTGCGGGTTGCGGGTTTAGGGTTCACGTCTTAATTTAAAAAGAACCCTACAAGCCCTAAACCCTCAACCATATAAACCTTTCCTAAGCAAGCGGTCGGCTTCAGAACCCAGAGGCATTTGTAGTACAGTTCTGGACGTAGGCGCCCCCAAAAAAGAACCCTATTTAGTGTGACATGGGGTGCCTAATGACATAAAGTACCCCTAAACCCTAAACCCTAAACCCTAAACCCGAAACCCGAAACCCTAAACCCTAAACCCTAAACCCTAAACCCTAACCCTAAACCCTAAACCCTAAACCCTAAACCCTAAACCCTAAACCCTAAACCCTAAACCCTAAACCCTAAACCCTGAACCCTAAACCCTAAACCCTAAACCTAAAGAATCCGTACTGGCTGCCATGTGGCCACTGCCCGTGCGCAATACGCAGAGTCGCCAACCACCGAGTGCCACCTTGAGAAGTGGAGACAGGCTTAGGGTTTAGGGTTTAGGGTTTAGGGTTTAGGGCTTAGGGTTTAGGGTTTAGGGTTTAGGGTTTAGGGTTTAGGGCTTAGGGTTTAGGGTTTGTTTAGGGTTTAGGGTTTAGGGTTTAGGGTTTAGGGTTTAGGGTTTAGGGTTTAGGGTTTAGGGTTTAGGGTTTAGGGTTTAGGGTTTAGGGTTCAGAATGTAGGGGTCTGGGGTAGGGTTTGGGGTTTAGGTTCTAGGGAGGTGTTCTGGCAACTACCCCAACAATCACTGACAAACACATACCAGAACAGAACATAGCATAACATGACGTAACATGACATCATATCATGTAAACCCTAAGCCCTAAACCCTAAACCCTAAATGGTACATAGACATATCGGTCTCAGAAGAGAGTGCTCGGGGCCATCCCTCCGAGGCCCGCGCATGTTCACAGGGTTGGCAGCCTTCAGCTGCTCCTGCGGATGTGCATTTTTTTTTTTTTTTGGGGGGGGGGGGGTCAGCCCTAAACCCTAAACCCTAAACCCTAAACCCTAAACCCTAAACCCTAAACCCTAAACCCTAAACCCTAAACCCTAAACCTCCCTTCCGTCAAGGTGACAGGGAGACAGGGCAAACATGGAGTCGGCGATGGTGTGAAGGGTTTAGGCTTTAGGGATTAGGGTTTTGGGTTTTGGGCTTGGGGCTTAGGGTTCAGGGTGCAGGGCAACGGAGCTACTTAGTGCAGGCCATGCGTAAGTGATAGCATCAAGACGAATTTCGACGGGAAACTTTTTCGGCACATCCGTCGCCTGATTGTTCTATTGAGTCGTGCGGCGTAGAGCATTGAACGGCAACAGCTGTTGCTTCTTTATAAGCTACAAATTCCTCTTCTATGGTTTGCTTAAGAACCCCCAAAAAAACATTATATATACATAATGTCATATACATATTTATTTATTCATATATCGTTTTTTGGGGCGATGGGGAGTTCTTCAGCAAGCAGTAGTTTTCGGAGGTTCCATCTACATGACAAGGGCCTCATGCAAAAAAAAACGGGCGGCTGCAAGGTGGACAGTGCCCTGTAGGGTTTAGGGTTTAGGGTTTAGGGTTTAGGGTTTAGGGTTTAGACGTTTCACATGTTTTGGGTTCAGGGCTTACAGTTTCGGGTTTCGGGCTTTGGGAAAGCAAAAGTGGTCAGGCGTTCTCGTTTTCCCCCGCGCACACCAGCACCCGTGTTTTCATATTGCGTTTTTAGCGGTCGCTGCTTGCATGGGTGCAACAAATATGTCTGCAACATGTTGTGTCGAAACAACAACATTGAAACAAACCGACGTGCAGAAAAAGGACATGCTTGTGTGGCGGCAAAGCAAAAACGAGCTTACATCTCTGTTCTCTGCGAAACTCCTCAGGTATATGCTCTGGTGTGACCACATGGGACATACCTTAGGTCAGGAATTTGGGGCTAAACATTCGGTCAAAACTTTCTGGGACGAAGCCCTAGCCTAAACCCGACCCTAAACCCAAAACCCTTATACCCTAACCTCCCAAAGGCGCGCCTCCAGCGCTCGGAGGCCCGCATCCTCCGCAGTGACGGCGACCAGGCGCGACACAAGGAGGTCGCGGACCTGAGGCTTAGGGTTTAGGGTTTAGGGTTTATAGGGTTTAGGGTTTGGGGTTTAGGGTTTGGGATTTAGGGTTTAGGGTTTAAGGTTTAGGGTTTAGGGTACTTGGAAGCCCTTTGACTTACTAAAGTCAAAAAGTCTTCCAAGTAGGGGTTAGGGTTTAGGGGCTTTGGGTTCAGGGTCTATGTGTTGGGCACTTAGAGGTTCATGTGACATACTAGACAGGAGATGTATGGAAAAAAAGTCTGCGCAAGATGAACTTGACGCTAAAGACACTCTAAACCCAATAAATACGCCCTGCAAGCCCCTACGCCGTACACCTAAATCCCTCAAAAACCTCAAACATTACACCCCATAAATCCCTATGAGCCCGCAACCCTATGAACACTATAAAAATCCCTTAATCCCTACAAACGCTAAACCCTATGAGCCCTAATTATACATAAACCTTGAAGACTTGAAGACAGCAGTTTTGGGTTAACTCGGATAAGTTTAGGGGTTGCAGGCACCCAGACACCTGAAAGGCCCCAAAAAGTAGATCGCCTTAGGGGTTCCTAAGAATAGCCCAGCAGTAATCTCGGGTACTGTTTGGGCGTTCTACTGTTTGGATCCTCCCAGGGGTATGGGTTATGGTTTAGGGTTAGTGCTGGTGTGAACCACCAGCAGGCTGTGCAGAGACAAGTGGATTTGCAAGCTCCCCTGACTCGAACAAACCTGCCATGGCTCACACAGACGCGGAGTTTTACACACAGGCGGACAAAGCAAGAACGACAAGAAAGTCTTTGAGTCTGCTACTGCCATAGGGCTAGGCACCTACAGCTAAAAACTGTACATGTGCTTGAAAGTGCTGCTCAAGCCCTCACGTTGTGACTAAGAGCAAAAGCAGCAACAGGGAAAACAAGGTTGACTACAGCTAGACATGTGCAGAAACTACGCTTCAACACTCCTCCTTCGCTCCTTCGCCAGAGGAAGCGACAACAAAAACCTGCACATGTCCATCCCTTCCGGGAGGAGGTACAAGCTCCTACGGAAGGAAAAGCTGCAGTGGCTTTACGCTGGCCGGCTGGCCACACTGTGAGGGCTCTCAGAGCACCTCTTGCAAAAGGAAGGCAAAATTACCCCAGTTGACCTTATACCCCCCAGTACTCCACCCCGCTCAAATCCGTAGCCGGACGGGCCTCACTTGATGCGGCTTGATGTGCGCTGGCGTTGGCCTCTGGTCCTGGGCTTCCGCCTGGAGCTATGCTTCGTGGTAGTGCACTTCGGGGTGCACTTACAATCATCCCACCATCAGTGGTGGTCGACACCTGGAATGTGCCTTCTGCTGGGTCCCCACCTCCAGATGCCCTTCCCGCACTCCACCTGCGGCGTGCACTTGTGCAGGTGTTGGCGTTGCATCCTGTGAACCTGGGTGACCATCCCTCCCGGGTGGCGGGGATGGCATATTGCCCAGGGTGCCATAGTGCCCTTGCCCAAGCGTTGGGCTCATAACCTGCTGGTGTGAACCACCAGCAGGCTGTGCAGAGACAAGTGGATTTGCAAGCTCCCCTGACTCGAACAAACCTGCCATGGCTCACACAGACGCGGAGTTTTACACACAGGCGGACAAAGCAAGAACGACAAGAAAGTCTTTGAGTCTGCTACTGCTATAGGGCTAGGCACCTACAGCTAGAAACTGTACATGTGCTTGAAAGTGCTGCTCAAGCCCTCAAGTTGTGACTAAGAGCAAAAGCAGCAACAGGGAAAACAAGGTTGACTACAGCTAGACATGTGCAGAAACTACGCTTCAACAGTTAGGGTTTAGGGGTTTAAGGGCTTCGGGATTCAGAGTTTGGCTTTAAGGGATTTGAGCGCTATGGGGTTTTGAGCTCAAGGTTTGGGCCTAAGCAAGGTTTGGGCCTAAGCATAGGATCCCCGATTACTCAGCTCAAATTCCTTGAGGAGGTCGCCATAAAAGCACCAAGAAGGACAAACCCTAAACCCTAAACCCTAAACCACCTGTGTTTGAGCCTACCATGCCGCCCTCGAGGGGTGATGAACCTAAATTGTCTTCAGGTCTTTGCTAAATTTTAGTGTGCAGCGTTATGAATTGAGATTTTTCCGGTTTCCCCGAAACCCTAAACCCTAAACCCTAAACCCTGAAACCCTGACACCCCAAACCTCAAACCCAAAACCCTTCAAACCCCCAACCCTGAACCCTAAACCACAAACCCTCAACCCTGAAACCTCAACAAGTTGGCACCCGGCTCTCAGGGCACGGTCGGCGTCTACGAGGACCCCCGGCCAAACGAGCCGCAGGGACATTTTCCTGCGAGAAGGGTTAGGGCTTAGGGTCTAGGGTCTAGGGTATATAGGGTCTAGGCTTAAGGGTTAAGGGTTTAGGCGTGGGTGCGGGGGCGGGGGGGTTTAGGGTTTGGGGGTTTATGGGGTTGAGGTCTAAGGAATTAATATAAATTATTGTGATGTCTTTGTGTGCTGATGTTACAAATTATTGTGCAAAATAATGCTTATATTGTGTAAAGTAATGAGACATGCTTTTTTTTGGGGGGGGAGGCGGGGTCCTTGCTAAATCCTTTTTTTTTGCTCAGAAGTTTTAGGGCTTAAACTCGGGTTCAGACTGGAGGACTATACTTGGCTGCACTCAGGAGGGTAGCTATAAATTAAATAAACCCAAAAAAGGTAACGATCTAAAGTTACGGTAAAGTACCACAAAGTATAGGGCCCTAGGATCAAAATTCTTGTATTGAGGGAACCCTAACTTCCCACCCGGCCTGCTTAGGCCGTAGGTAGCCTTTTCAAGGGTGCCTGGACCCAGAACTACACCCGACAGCCCTGAAACACTTTCGCTGGAGGGCCAATGTAAAACCTAAACCCTACGTAAACCCCGAACCCTTGAGGTGGATTGGTGGATTGAAGGTGGTTTCATCGAACTTCGAAGCGTTCTAAGCTCGCAGCTGAAGGGGAAAAGAACCCCCAGCACCAATGAAATTGTTGGACTGCATTGGAAACATGTGCCTTCGCGTGGCATTCCGCCCCCCCCGCCGCATGGGGCGCCATTGCCACACAGTATTTATTGCCGGCGAGACTAACCCTAAACCCTAAACCCTAAGCCCTACACCCCTCGACGCCCTCGAAATTACGGTTTCAGCTCACGAAGGCGTTTGCATCCCGGAACGCCACACACAGACCAACACGGACCTCAAAGACACAAAGGCCTGGGATTTGGGGTTTAGGGTTAGGGTTTAGGCACCCCAACATCTGAAACACAGACCCTGAAACCTGGATTTGCTTAGGGTAGGGATGGAGTTCGGGCCGTGAGCTCAGAGTCTAGGGGTTTTGTAGGGCAAGGGGTTAATAGGGAACACGGATGAAGGCCCCCCCAGATCGCAAGCAACAGTAGGGTGCCCATGATCCCTTATTCAGACCTACGTATTGAGGACTCACTTGGGCTTACTAAGGCCTTCCCTCCTCCCTCCCCCCCCCCCCTCCCTTACTTCCTGTTGCCCCCAAGACCCTCCCCACGTATTTGCTACCGTCCTCACGCCCTTTGTCTGTGAGAGCCCGGTCGCGTTGTAGATGGCGACATCCAGAAACCCGGTTGCGCTCGGGAACACCTGCGAAAGTCTTGCTGGCGCCTCTAAGGGGAAGTTGGGGGAGTGAGCTTAGGGTTTAGGGTTTAGGATTAGGGTTTAGGGTTGCCCGCTCAAGCACCAGCGAGAAAGCTGGCTCGTTTCTTCGGTGTTGACATCTACACACCTCTGCTTCCAAGCTTGGAAGATTCGAATCCTCTTATGATCCTATAATGAAGGAATGCTCCTCAGATGCCTTGCTTGGAAGACCTTTTGACTTAGTAAGTAGGGTTAGTAAGGCGGGTTTTGAGAATGTCATACAGTTTCTAGGGGACAATATATAAGTCAAAAGAGCTTCCAAATATTCCCTAAACCCTAAACCCTAAACCCTAAACCCTAAACCCTAAACCCTAAACCCTAAACCCTAAACCCTAAACCCTAAACCCTAAGCCCAATTTTTTTAATCTAGGATGCCTCTTTGCATTTGAAATAGTTGAGTCAATTTTTTTTGTGTAGGGGCCTGTGAGCCAAAGACCTTTTCCTGTAGGGGCTAGTTGGGCCAGCACTGTCTTCAGAGATGCGAGGGTTTCGGGCTTAGAGTAGCCTAGAAGGTTTGGGGTTTCAGGTCTCGGCCCTTTTCAGAGGATGGAAGAAGCCCCAAAACTATCCTAAGAGGAAGATTTGTGGGAAGCAGGTTTGTTGCAGCTTACCTCGTCAGAACACGCTGTATACAATTTGATTTGAAGCAGTACTGCAAGGGGGCCTTTAGGAGAGGTTCCACTCCCTGAGGATATCATGTGCTAAACCCTAAACCCTAAACCCCTGCACCACGAGTGCTTCGGAAATGAGCACATTAAGCGCGTCCCGATTGTTCTGTTCATCGCGCGTCACGGAAGGAATTCAAACCCTTCACAAATCCGTGTTGCCACTGTTGGCAATCAACTGATCACGAACTGCGCCCTGGAACTTCTTGTGGTTCATTGTCCCGTTCTGCATCGTGAATTTCACATACGACTTTGTGAAGATGGTGCGGATGTAGGTCATAGCCTCATAGCCATCTGGGAACGCTCCACGTTGTCTGATTATAAGGCGGCCCCTAATATTGAGGGTGATTACCCAAAATAAGGGACTATTCTTTCGAGAACTCACCACGTTTCGTAAGGTCTGCGCCTCGCCAATCACCTGGCCAATGAGCCGAGCCAATGGGGACTCCTCACAGTGTCCGCATTTAACTTACTTCTCCAATAACCAAGGGGAAAAAAGGTTAAACTTTATTATTCAAAAAGTTTAAAGTTCAGCTGTTGGAGAAGTAAGTTAACAGCAAGCTTCCACCCTAACCCTGCACATGCAGCCCGAAGCCCCAATAACCTGGAGCTTCCGTGCATTCGTGGGTCTTTTCGGCAATCCCCAAACCCATTTGGGCATTTCCTACAAGAGGGGACCCCCTTATATACCTCAAAAACACTCTAGGCCTCAATATGAGAACCGCTCCCAAAACAGGCACCTGGAAACCCCCATTAGGGAGCTTTGGGCTTCGGCTTCAGGGGTTCTAGGGGACCCTGCCAACCTGAGAACCGGAATCCTGTGCTCTACCCCTTCTAAGGGTAGTTTCATGGGCTCCTAATGTGGTCCCTAACCCCCCTTGAAAGGGTGAACGGGTTCTGATGCGTTGTATAGGTATATAAGGGATGTATAAGGGGTACTGTACCGTTTTAAGGGCCCATACTAAGGGACCATGTAACTACCCTTAGACCCTTGGTGCGGCAGACTTCCTAATGAACTTGGCTTAGGGTTTCGGTGTAGGGCTTCGGGCTTAGGGCCCTACAAACCCTCTAAAAATTCTGAGTCTCGAGGAAGCAGAAGAATGGAAGGCCATGAAACCGAAGCTTGAACAATACATCCCTGAGCACTACTTTCCTTGAACCCTCAGCCCTATAAACCCAAAGACGCAACGACCTGAAAACTCACCTTCGTCAGGCCAAAAAACCCTAATTGTCGCGGTACCACAGGTTTCACAGGGCGCGGTTTTTCAGGCTTTGAAGGTTGTTGTCGCGCCCCGGATTTGCCGGTGTCCAGCTCCGAAGCCCCTAGCCCCGAACGTGTCCACGCGGCCACAGACGCTGGTGCAGATCCGATAGGTCCTTGTTCTGCACCGCTACGGTGTCAACGTCCACTCACGTGCCCCCGAGTGCTTCTGAAGGGCTGCCTGTGCACGTTCCTCCCAGTCACGCAGACAGCTATATCGGCTTTTCTTCAGCCTGCGCGCAGCTGCTCTGACAACTGAGGTACTAGAAACCCTACGCTCCAGAACCCCTAATCCTTCCTTATAAGTCCTAAACCCTAACCCTAAACCCTAAACCCTAAACCCTGAACCCTAAACCCTAAACCCTAAACCCTAAACCCTAAACCCTAAACCCTAAATCCTAACCCTAAACCCTAAGCCCTAAACCCTAAACCCTAACCCCCTCCCCCCCCCCCGGAGTCCGGGCTCATGAGCTGGGTGACCGCAGGTGCTGCCTGGCGCGCTCCATGTAGGGTTTAGGGTTTAGGGTGTTGGGTTTTGGGTTTCGGGTTTAGAGCTTATAACCTATAAGGTATGGAGGCCTTGTAAAGCCCCACAAATACTGAAACCCTGAGACCGAAGACCCTGAAGCCCTAGACCCTTCAGCCCTACACCCTACAAAAACTCTTGAGGGTTTAGGGTTTAGGGGTTTAGGGTTTAGGGTTTAGGGTTTAGGGAAAACCCTTACAGCCGTAAACCCCTCAACCCTTCAAGCCTTAAGCCCCGGAACCTCAAACTCTGAAACTCCAAGCTCGAGACCCCTAAACCGTTGCAACGCTTAAAGCCTTGTCCCTAAACCCTGCAACCCTTCAAACCCTACACCCTACTCAGCCCCACGAAACCCTAAACCCTAAAGTCCTTAACGCTATCTGAACCCTAAACCCTAAACCCTAAACCCTGAACCCTAAAGCCTAAACCCTAAATCCTAACCCTAAACCCCCCTGAACGCTATACCCTAAACCCTAAACCCTAAACCCTAAACCCTAAACCCTAAACCCTAAACCCTAAACCCTAAACCCTAAACCCTAAACCCTAAACCCTAAACCCTAAACCCTAAACCCTAAACCCTAAACCCTAACCCTAACCCTAAACCCTAAACCCTAAACCCTAAACCCTAAACCCTAAACCCTAACCCTAAACCCTAAACCTAAACCCTAAAACCCTAAACCCTAAACCCTAACCTAAACCCTAAACCCTAAACCCTAAACCCTAAACCCTAAACCCTAAACCCTAAACCCTAAACCCTAAACCCTAAACCCTAAACCCTAAACCCTAAACCCAACCCCCAACCCCCAAGAAGGCAGGCCTCTCGGCTGCCCCAGGCTTCGAGATCCTGGAAGAAGCGGAAAGTGCGCGTTCGCCTCCGAAAGGCTGAGGCGGGGGTAGTTTAGGGGGTTTAGGAAGGTCTGTGAAGGTTTCGAAAGGTGTAGAGGTGTACGTAGGGTTCAGGGGTTGGGGGTTAAGGGCTTAGGGGTTTGGGAGGGTAGGGTTTAGGGTTACCCTAACCGAGGGGTTTGAACAACGGTTGAAGCTGAAGTGTGGTCCACAGGGTTTAGGGTTTAGGGGCTAGGGGTTTGGATGTGTTTGGGTGTTGGCTTAGGGTTTGGTTGAGGGTGCTTAGGATTGAGGGTAGAGATGTCTTGGACCGAGAGATGCTGAGAGCTTCGGGTCGGGCGGGGGATTTGGGAGTCAGGGCCAACACCTACCAACCCCCTCCGGCTACAAGCCTGATACTGAATCCCTAAACCCCCTAAATCGCACCGCCCTGAACCCCTAAGCTTAGTCACAAGTCTCCCTCCTCCCCCGCCCACCCCTCCCTAAGTCCTAAACCCTAAATCGGGGAAGGGCCCACCCCCCACCCCACTCTCAGCCTCTCCGCGAGGGTGAGAGGAATCCCGAGGGAATGCAGAAAGCCCAAGTGGCGGTTCAGCTCCTGCAGCCATAGACCCTACAATGGCTGTAGACTATACACTCCAACAACCTATAAGCCGTCTAAACCCTATCATCCTACAACAACTCTACAAACCCTATAATCCTTAAAAGCTCTATACAGCCTATAAACCCCTAAACCCTGAACCCTGAGTGCATTCTCAGTTCTACGGTGGGAGATCCCCCAACCCTATGCTCAAGCCCAAGAGCCTCAAAGCCCTAAACCACTTTCGGAAGCGGATGGTTGTGCGGGTGTGTCTGTTGGTGTGCTTTGTGTGAGTCATAGGGTTTAGGGTTTAGGGGTTACTTGGAGATTCATGGCTACTTATAGAGAGCGGCCTGTCATGGGGCCTGCGTTTTCCATGGTGCATGTTTTGCGAATGGTGCGTGCACCCAGCATAAAAGTCGTGATTTTTCGTCGAAGTACCCCATGTCGACGATGTTATTGTGAGCAAAGCTTTTGGTTGAAGCCTGCTGCACATGCTGAGTGGGATATGTTTCGTGAACCGAAGTGTTGGATGAACAGGAGTCCACATGCCAGATGAGCGGGGGGGGGGGAAACATTTGTCGGACCCAGATCCTAAACCTTAGTCGTTTACGGTTTGGGCCAAAAAAAATTTTGTTGGACAGGGTTTAGAGTGTTTTGGGTCTGTGGACAAGGGTCACGAAGTGTCGCAAGCAACCCAAGGGATCCGAGCAACCCAGGTCTTCCCAGATCTCCCAAATTGTACGTGCCCCAAACCTGATCCCAAGTTTCCCAAGTGCTCCAAGCGACCTCCAAGCTGCTCAGGTGATGCAACTCATAGGTGGCTTCAGTGAAGAGTTTCATATCAAGTTCCTCTAAACCACCTTGCATCAAGTGCTTTGAAAACAACAAGGCGGTAACTCCATGAGAGTTGGGCGGTTTCAGGGTGGGTAATTAGGTCTGCAGACTAATGCGCGCTCCCAAAGCGCGCTTCCGTTTGGTACATCCTAAACCAAAGGGGGGGGGGGGGGGGGTCGTCGTAGGTCCTAAAGCCGAAGTCCCAATCCAGCCGGACTCCCGCACAAACGCCCTCCCCCCCCCCCCCCTCAACCCCTATCAGGGTCATGAGCTGCCTTATATGTGTTTAGAGCTCATATATATAAAAACATACATATATACATATACATATACATACATATATGTGTGTGTATATATAAATATAGTTGCTAAGAAAATGTATAAATAAATAAATAAATATATATATATATATATAATTTTATATATGTTATATGTCCACTGATTGATTGTCAGATATGTATATATGTCTGTTTGCTTCTTTATCTCTTGATTCTGAGGCTTTCATTCCATACGAAACAGCTCGCGTATTAGGGGAACCTAACCATCTTGAGCCAAACCCAAAACCTAAACCCTAAACCCTTATAGTAAGGGGACCTAATACCTAGCCATCTTTAGCTCTGCAAACAGCTCGTCCTCTAAATCTGCGGCGCCCTGCACGAGGAGTCCCGGGGGAGCCTGGGCTCGGAAGGCCTTTAGGGTTTAGGGTTTAGGGTTAGGGTTTAGGGTTTAGGGTTTGGGGTTTAGGGTTTAGGGTTTAGGGTTCTCTGAGCCTCTGCAGTTTTCGCCTGAGATTTCTGTGACGGGGGGGTGGGGTTTGCTTTCAGGAAGTCCCCAAGGCATCTCTTTGGCAGCTTCGGGTTCGGAGTTCGGGGTTTTGGGTTTATAGGGTTTAGGGTTTAGGGGTTAGGGTTTCGGGTTTAGGGTTTAGGGTTTAGGGCTTAGGTTTCAGGACCCAAAGGAAGACCACAAACCCTGCGCGCGATTTTTGTGTAAGCTTGCCTCGTTTTTGCAGTGTGCAAACCCGCCTTTGTCTTGGTCTTGGCGGTCATCTTTTTGGGGACCGGGTTCGCGGGATCCCAGTACTCCCCCAAGCCATGTACTCTCTGTCCGTCTTCTCGCGCGCGCCCCGACCCATGGCTCGGAGCTCGAAAGACGAAGATCGAAACGCTTCGTTGGACATGATCCGCGCGCGTCTCGCATCCTTCCAACCCCATGTCCTATTTTTTCACGCAAAAAACCTGAAGCCTAAACCCCAAACCCCAAACGCCAAACCCTAAACCCCTTAACTCCAAGCACCGCCAACACATAACCTCTCTTCCCCTCCCCCTCAACCAAACTTCCTGGCAGAGTGAGACTGAAACCCTAAACCCTAAACCCTAAACCCTAAACCCTAAACCCTAAACCCTAAACCCTTGGGCCTTTTCTAGGATGGCCCTTAAAACCATCTTTTAAAAACAACTCTTAGAATATGTCCCTCTTGAACCCACTGGGGGCATATATAAAATATCCCCAAGGGCCTGCCTAGTGCAGCGTTTAGGGTTTCGGGCTTAGGGCCTTTAAGGTTTTGCGGTTAGGGCCTTTAGGGCCTTTAGGGTTTATGGGGTTTAGGGCCTTAGGGTTTGGGCCCATTGCCGTCTTTAGGGTTTAGGGGTTAAGCTCAATTCGGGGTCGAGGGAATTCAGTCCTCAGAATGCCAGGGTGGGGGCGTAGCGTTTAGGGCCTACTTTCCATCCCAAAGACCTCACAAGCACCTGGCTTTAGCTCTGTAAGCTCTGTGTCCCCAACCCTAAACCCTAAACCCTAATCCCTAAACCCTAAACCCTAAACCCTGAACCCTGAACCCTGAACCTTGAACCCTAGATTCCCTAAAATACCTAAAGTACCTAAAGTAGGGTCTGAGGTTGAGTGTGATCAGGATTGCAGAACCTGGACTCTGGTCCTGGCGCCACTGCCGCCAAACCCTGCCTCTACCTGGTTTAGGGTTTAGGGTTTAGGGCTTAGGGTTTAGGGTTTAGGGCTTCGGATTTAGGGTTATAGGGTTTGGGGTTCCCGGTTCTTGCTTGGAGCCCTGAATGAGTAGCCAATTCTACTGACCAGGCTGTAGGGAAAAAAGAGACTTCTAGGTGCTGAAGCCCGAATCCCAAGCTCCACCCTAAACCCTAAACCCTAAACCCTGAACCCTGAACCCTAAACCCTAAACCCTAGTTGCGCAGCTCGACGATCTGAGTGCCCCGCCCGCCGTTTCCTGCAGCCCAGCTGGGTGCAGGGGATGTGGTTGAGGGCTTAGGTAACTGCTTATTTGCACCCCAAGAGCATTTAGAGAACAAACAATATTCAATAAAGGCCCTGCAATCCGGACCTAAACGCAAAAACCCTATAAGTCCTATAAACCCCACACTCTGAGCCCTAAACCCTGAACCCTGAACTTCTGAACTCTAAACTCTTGGCCCCCTAAGCCCTTAAGCCCGTAGAACTTAACCAGCTAACAAGGCGCCAACGCTGATCTTAAAACTCTCTGCACTCAGCCCTGCTGATCTTTAACACTCGAGGGTTTAGAGCAGGGCTCCCGAAAGAAAAGCAGGCCCTGATTGTCGGGTATACGGGTGTAGGTTTTAGAACCCCCCGCAAAAAACAAAACAAAAGCCTAAACCCTAAATAAGCCCTGACGAAACCCAGCCCTTTATGGTTGCTGAGACTCGAATCCTTTTGGCTGGAAGGATCCGCCCTACCAACATCTGTTCATAGCAAAAGTCTAGTGAGGGGTGAGATTTGAGCTCCTAGAGTCAAGACACACAAAACCTAAACCCTAAACCACAAGCAAAGGCTCATGCAATTTAATGCAGAACCTGGACCAAGAAGCGATTTCAAGCCAAGATCCTCATTTTCAACTAAAGCTTATATACTGTATATTCTGTGCACCGATATATCCCGGAGAGCGAAGTAGGGTTCGGGGTTCAGGGTAGAACTTCAGGTTTCAGGGTATACAAAAATGATGGCTTCCAGCCTGCCCACAAACCCTGGACTACGTACTGCAACAAGCGCGCCCTTGTTTAATGGAGCTTCTAAAGGATCCGAGCCACCTTCAAAGGGACATAAGGGTTTAGGGTTCAGGGATTAGGGTTTAGGGACTAGGGATTAGGGTTAGGGTTTAGGGTTTAGGGTTTAGGGTTTAGGGTTTAGGGTTTAGGGTTTAGGGTTTGGGGTTTGGGGTTTAGGGTTTAGGGTTTGGGGTTTGGGGTTTGGGGTTTAGGGTTTAGGGCAACCCAGGCTTAAATCCCAACTGCGCTGGCCTCACCCACCAGTCTGGATAACTCTCGAGCACCACGTGCGTAGCGCTCTTTGATGTTTCAGCCTGCGCCCTAAAGCCTAAACACCTGAACCAGCAAAAACAATGAAAGCGCCCGTCCCTAAACCCTAATCCCTACACCCTGAACCCTAAACCCTAGGCCCAACACGTTGGGACTCACACGCAAAAAGGCGCCCAATAAATCCTGAAGCTTGCCGTGCTGGTGCTGAAGCGCAGAGGGGGTCCATTCATTGCTCTGTTTAGAGTTTAGGGTTTAGGGTTTAAGGTTTAGAGTTTAGGTAGGGTTAGGGTTGTATTTCCGAGGATTTTCTATGCACAAGTTTCTGACGAAAGAACCAGCCGGCGACACTCAAGGCACCCGCGCCGGAAGCAGGGTTCAGGATTTCGGACTTGGGCAGCTAGATGGCCAAACTTTGCATAGTGGATGCGCCTTCAGCCCTGAAGAAGAACCCGTCTTCAGCCCTTTCAGAAGAACCCGTCGAATCCGACAACTCAGGATGGGCTTCGGTTTTATAGGGTTTGGAGTCTAAGCCTCGTGGCTTTTAGGGTGTACAGTGGACATGGTCACTGTGTTCACCGCCGGGAAAGAACCTGCACCAATCTCATAGTCATATATGTATGCTGTATGTAAATGGGCATACATACATGTACACGCATAATCATCACACATAAACCTTCACTTCGCGACGCCAGACTGATTTATCAGGTGCATAAGTATGAAAAGACACCTTGAAGCGGACTCGGTCTTGAGGTCACCAAGAGCAAACGCACATATCCAACAACTGGTGACAGTTTCGTCACACTGGCGAAAAGTTGTCGGAATCAACAGCCGCAATAATGTCTACAAGCCTTGCCAAGCTCGGAAATCTCTCGATGGGCAAGTCCTCAAGCTCTGGCCAAGAAAGTTCCTCAACTTCCAGCATGAAACGTCGCCCCCTGGGCCTGGAGCAAACACGGTGGAATAGGAAGGCCACCAACTCTTGCTTCAACACTCTTGAAGAGAAGCCCCGGGGCTTAAGACCCGCAGATTGTATCGAGAAAGCTGCAAACCACATCCTTGTCCTTCTTCCTTTGCCCACGTATGCAAAGGCATCGCGCAACTCTGCATTGACATCTTCGAGTTCAAAGAACGTCTTGAACAAGCCTGCCAGCGGAAACTCTGGGGCCAGTCGAACCATCCAGAAATCTCTCAAAGCAAGCCCTCGAAACCCTCGACCATCAGGCGAATCAAGCGGTATTTCATGCTGTCGCTCAGATAAGATATGACGATCTGCGTCGATGCGCACTCCATCGGTGCGTGCTGGACACTTCACAGCCAGAACACCATCCGTGAAGAAGATACCGAGCAAGCTTTGCAGGTCGCTAGGGCGATGGGAGGGGTCCGTGTAATCCACGTAAACCAATGTGAAGGGTGCCTTCCTGGCTCGAGTAGGTACAGTACCCTCTCCCGCTCGAGCTTACGGTCTCTCGAAATATGCCATGCCCAGGACTCAATGCCTTTGTGCCTCAGAAATTCTGCACTTGAGAGGGGGTAAACATTCACAGCCCAGCCGCTTTGCTTCAGCCGAGTCTGAATTGCCGCAAAGTCCTGCTTGCTGCTGTTCGGGACATGTAGATGTGATGGCGGCCAACCAGCTTCAATCAACTTCCGCGACGTACGCAGGGCCCTTCCATCAAGATAAAGAGCATGGGAAAAACCATCATGCGGACCATGGCACCAGATCAAGGCATCGTTTGCCCGATCCCTGAAAGCCTCGTAAGTGTCAGTGAAGGCCGAGCCTGAGCTGGCTCGGTCCTCAGCTCCAGCGACCCCATGCAGCTCATTAAGCAGCTCATCATGGCGCCGCAACATTTCTCGAGTCAAGCCTTGACCTTCGTGCTCTTGCAGCCATTGACGTGACAGATCGTCCCTACGATTCCACAAGTCATCTGCCAGGCCGGAATCCACGTCCATATGCATTCCTAAATCTTCAGCGACGCCTGCCCATTCCCGAAAGTCTTCGTCAGCTTCTCTGTCTTCTGGATCCTGCACCCACACTCCGGTTCCACAGCTTCGCCGAAGGTCCGACATGATCTGATATACCAGCTCTGCAGAGCGAGCATTGATGAACTCAATCTGGTAGAGACGCATTGAGTGAGCGTCAGGGTGGCCCCCGTCATATTCGGACCATACAAGGATCTGTTTCGGGGGGCCGTACAATACTCGAAAGCACTGATGCGTGGTAAAGCTGCGGTGAACTGCCCATTCCAGGATGTCTGGGTCACCAGTCAAGGGAGTCCAGGGATCATCTTCCTTTGTAAATCGGCAGCCCGGAATACTGCTCCAATACGAAGCGCTCAACAACTCCAACAAGAATGCAGCCCTGTCACCAAGCGCGGCCTTGCTGCGTTCCATCGCTCCTTGGTTAGTGGACGTTACACGGTGACCTGCTGATGGATGAGAACGCTGGAACTATGGGATGTGAATGTGCCTCAACGAAATGGACCGGGTGTTCACCTGCATGGCTACATGGTCTTGACATTTCACTGGGATAGGCTCGGATAGACAGATGAGATACCAGAACACCAGGCGAACCTGAGGAACGTCTTCGTCCGCAAGTGCTACACGCTTGCATATGGCCGAGCACGGAAGCAAGTCAGTTCTTATGCCAAGAGCACGGATGAGAATGGCCTGACCTATGTGCACTCAGGGGTTCAGGGTTTAAGGTTTTTGGGTTTTGGGTTTAGGGATCATGACTGCAAAGCTCATGTCACAAACTTAACCCCACTCTCAAGACCCTAAGCCATTTGTGAATCCTCTGACCACCGGAAGGTTGAAATTGGGAGCTGGAGGTTTGAGCGTAACATGGGTTATGAGGAGAACGAGGAGATTAGGGTTTAGGGTTTAGGGTCGTCTTCTTTCGTTTTTCCGTTCCCTCAACCCTCGGAAGCAGAACGTTGAAAACTACAAGCCTGTACCAAACCCCACCCCCCCCCCCCCCCCCCCCCCCCCCCCGACTCCATGGCGGCTCCTTTTTGAGGTACCCAGTCTTGTGCCCCTACTAAACACTAAGCCCTCAACCCTAAACCCTAAGCACTAAACTCTCAACCACCCAAAAGGGTTTTCGCCTCGTGGCTTTGCAGGAAGGTCCTGACCTCTGCTAAGGACGCAGGATCCGCCTAGGCAACGGGGGAGTTTTGGGGAAGCTTTATAGGAGGATTCGAGGTTAGGAGTTGAGGGATCTACAAGGTCTGCCAGGAACCCAAAACCTAAACCCTAAACCCCCGACATGGGTTGTCATGCTAGAATTCAGGATTCTAAAGCTTCGGGCTGGGGGAGTTGCTTGGGGTGTGTTGGGCTAGGATAGAGCTTAAGAATGCCTAAAGCCCACAAAACCCTAAAACCCCAAGAACCCGAAGACTAAGGGTTCGGCGTTTAGGGTTTAGGGTTTTGGCCGAGGCATGTCCCCAGCTAGAAGAAAGCTCTTTCCCGCTCCGCCCACATGTGGCCATTCTGCCCTCATCCGGCCCTAAACTCTAAATCTTGTCCCCATCAGCTGGGTTTAACCCCCTAAACCCCATGAACGCGTCCAGGATGCAATGTGCCAACCATGCAAGCCAAATCCTTAGGCCTAGAAGCCATGAGCCACAGGGAGCAAACGGACCACCCACGCCCTAAACCAAACACGAACCTCACCCCGAACCTTGAAGCCTTGAACCTTAAACCCTTCTGCCCACACCCCACTCTAAGACCTTAGAACCGTGCCCTAAACCCTTACACCCAGCAAGGCCCTAAACCTTGATCACCATGCATTTAGGAGCGCTAAACCCTAAACCCTACATAAACCCTAAACCCTGGACCCTAAACCCTGGACCCTAGACCCTAGACCCTAAACCATAAACCCTAAACCCTAGACCCTAAACCCTAGACCCTAGACCCTAAACCCTAAACCCTAAACCCAACTCCATCTCAACCATGACGCTCCTTTCTCCTAAAAAGGCTTCGGCCTGCAGCTGAACGCCCCGGAGCTCCGCGATCAGCGGAAGGAGGGCGTCCAACTCCTCCGCTTCTGTTAGTTGAAGGCCCCCTGCTGAGTTTTTGTAGGGCTTCTCGGGTTTAGATGTTTTAGAGTTGCGATTTTTTGGGTTAAGGGCTTTTTTCGGCTTTTAGTGTTTTTGGGTTTTCAAAAACTTTTCCGGCTGTGCTATAGGACTGTATCAGGACATGCGTTGACGCTTTAGAGATTCTTAGGTTTGTTTATTCTCTCAAAGCCTGTGGGTGGCTTTCAGGGTTAGTAGTTTGAGGGTTTGAAGTTTGAAGGTTCATATCGTATGGGCAAAGGGTTTAGGGCGTCGAGGGGGTTTGCAGGGGCCCTTGCCTGAACCTGTTTGGGGGTTTAGGGGTTTAGGTAGGGTTTAAAATTTAGGGCTTAGGGTTTTGCAGGACTTTTTTGGTAATTTAAAATCTTCGAAGAAAAAGGTAAACTCCGCATGAAAACAAAGCAAATAGGGTTCAGGGTCTACGGCATATAGGGTTGAGCGTTCAGGGTGACCCTAAACCCTAAACCCTAAACCCTAAACCCTAAACCCTAAACCCTAAACCCTAAACCCTAAACCCTAAACCCTAAACCCTAAACCCTAAACCAAACTATAGGGTCTAGGGGAGTTGCGAGGAAGTCCTTTGCATCACCTGCAGCATTGCCATCGGGGGCCCCAGTCTCCTGCGTTCTGCACCATCGTCGGATCTTAGAGGATGTGTCTTAGGGTTTAGGGTTTAGGGTTTAGGGTTTAGTTTCTAGGGTTTAGGGTATAAGGTTTAGGGCGTTTAGGGCTTGCCCTTAAGTGGGGACTCCTTATATACCATGTATCTCTAGGGCTGCACACTTCAGAACTCTTCAAAGGAGGTAAGGGAGCATAATTCAGGGACCATGTAACTACCCTTAGAATGTGGAGCTTGACCTAAACTATGATTCCTTCTTGTTTGCCTCGAATCGTTCTGCTTTGTTGAGGTCAGGGCGCTTGCTCATCTAGTTTATCGGAGGGTGCTTCGAACAAGGAAGGTGTAGTTTGAACTGCACTTGGTGCAACCACTAGCGCCAAGCACAAAGGTTCGTCTGTGAGACAGCAATAGAAGTTCTCAAAGAGGTTGTGACAAGTCGATGGCATGGGCCCAGGCTTGTAGGAAATCCAAGTCCCAAAGCCGGACGAATTTGCTTACTGGCTGTAACCACGCTACTGGTTATAACTTGATAATCGCCATAGCGAATGTTATAACTAAACTATATATATATATATATTATGATGTCAAGAATATATGTATATATGTATATACATATATATATATATGCTATATGTATATACTAGTATATATATATATATATATATATATATATACACATGAATACATGTTATTGTACACGTGCTGATGAAGTTCCTGACAGAAGTCATAGAAACTCCCCCGATGCGATGACGGGTTTGCAGGGTTTGGGACCTTTTTGGTGTAGGGCTTAATTGTAGGCATTTGTAAGGGTTTTGGCGACTCTAAATACTAAACCCTGAATCCTAAACCTCATAACCAGACTCTCCACACCGCATTCGTGCTGCGACTCGCACGTGCCAACGTCAGGGTATTTGCAGTCGGCACATTCGCGCAGCCTGTGTTCCAAGAGTGCAGCGCAACTTCATGCAGGCGCCAAAATCGGCAGCGGCATTTACCGAAATCGTGTCCTGGGGGAGGGGGGATCTTTGGACTGAACGCAGAATCCTCAAGACTTTTCCGCGCACCTTCTCTCGGCAATGTCTCTCTCTTGGCAGTTGCTCGCCAGAATGTAACCGACTCGTGTACTACGCGCCTCGGCATGAGCGCAGAAATCTCGATTGCCCTGCGACATATCCGGGACCACATTCTTACTGTTGGTTAAGAGGGAATGAGGGAATGAGGTACCCCATATCCCCCTATATATTTATATACCCTTTAAGGGATTGTATAGAGTACCTCATTCCCTCATTCCCTACTAAACCCACAGTAAGTATTTAGAGACCCTGAAAAGGTCCCGGGCTTCCATCCAAAGTCATCTGCACATGATTCGTGGCTGACCGGCCTGTGCTCTAGACCCACTCCCACGCGCAGACGTCAAGTCAGCACGCTCCTGATTCTTAGGAGCTTCACAAGTGCCTGTTGGTTGCAACTGTCTTCTCCTTGGTTGAGAACCCTATGGTGCTCTACAAACGGTCGGATGATGCTCTGATGCTTTGGGGCGGGGTTCCTATTTCGCGACGCATGCGTGCGATCTCCACAACGTACAAGCTCAATGCGTGGCTATGGCCAGCTCTCTTTTCGGATACCCTCTCGTACTACGCAAAGGGAACCCCCCAAGGGACCAACATTTTAAAAATTGCAGTTTGCAGGCGATGGTGGCTATCGAAGACAGGTGGGTGCCTGAAACTGTCCAGTGCGGATGCGCAGTGTCACCCAACAGCCGCCAGTCCACCCAGTCGTCGAAAGACAAGTCCATCATGAACATCAGCGAAGCAAACTTAACAAGAACTTCCCACCTACCTCACCCCTGGACTCACCCCCCCCCCCCCCCAATTCTGACCCTCTAAAGCGATGTGCAAATTATTCTGTGGCTGCCCGGCCTGCACAATGGACCCACTTCCACCCGTAGACGTCAAGTCAGCACGCTCCTGAAAGTCTTAGGAGCTTCGCAGGTGCCTTTGGGTTGCAACTGTCTTCTCCTTGGTTGAGAACCCCATGGTGGTATACAAACGGTCGGATGATGCTCTGATGCTTTGGGGCTGGGTTCCTCCTTCGCAACGCATGCGTGCATGAACTCCGCTGGTCTCAGTGAAAGCTCCACAACGTAAAAGCTTAGTGAATGGTTATGGCCGGCTCTCTCTCTTTTCGGATACCCTCCTGGTCTTTGCAAAGGCAACCCCCCAAGGGACCAACATTTTTAAATTGCAGTTTGCAGGCGATGGTGGCTATCGAAGACAGGTGGGTGCCTGAAACTGTCCAGTGCGGATGCGCAGTGTCACCCAACAGCCGCCAGTCCACCCAGTCGTCGAAAGACAAGTCCATCATGAACATCAGCGAAGCAAACTTAACAAGAACTTCCCACCTACCTCACCCCCCAATTCTGACCCTATAAAGCGATGTGCAAATTATTCTGTGGCTGCCTGGCCTGCACAATGGACCCACTTCTGGACCCACTTCCGCCCGCAGACGTCAAGTCAGCACTCTCCTGAAAGTCTTAGGAGCTTCGCAGGTGCCTTTGGGTTGCAACTGTCTTCTCCTTGGTTGAGAACCCCATGGTGGTATACAAACGGTCGGATGATGCTCTGATGCTTTGGGGCTGGGTTCCTCCTTCGCGATGCATGCGTGTGAGCTCCACAACGTACAAGCTCAATGCGTGGAGTTATGGCCAGCTCTCTCTTTTCGGATACCCGCCTGCACTATGCAAAGGTAACCCCCAGGGGACCAACATTTTCATATTGGGGTTTGCGGACGGTGGCTATAGTTCTCGAAGTCAGGTAGGTGTCTGAAACTCTCCAGTGCGAATGCGCAGTGTCACGCAACAGCCGCCAGTCCAGCCAATCGTCCAAAGACAAGTCCATCATGAACATCAGCACAGAAAATTATCAAGAACTTCCCAGCTACCTCACCCCCCAATTCTGACCCTATAAAGCGATGTGCAAATTATTCTGTGGCTGCCTGGCCTGCACAATGGACCCACTTCTGGACCCACTTCCGCCCGCAGACGTCAAGTCAGCACTCTCCTGAAAGTCTTAGGAGCTTCGCAGGTGCCTTTGGGTTGCAACTGTCTTCTCCTTGGTTGAGAACCCCATGGTGGTATACAAACGGTCGGATGATGCTCTGATGCTTGGGGCTCGGTTGCGATTCGCGACCCATGCATGTGAGCTCCAGAATGTACAAGCTCAATGATGGCCAGATCTCTCTGTTCGGATACCCTTCTGTACTGTGCAAAAGTGACCCCCCAAGGGACCAGCATTTTTAAATTGCAGTTTGCAGGCGATGGTGGTTATCGAACACAGGCAGCGCGGTGTCACCCAACAGCCGCTAGTCCACCCAATCCTCGAAAGACAAGCCCATCATGAACATCAGCGCAGCAAACTTAACAAGAATTTCCCAAGCTACATCACCCCCATTCTGACCCTGTGACTCTCATCTATCTGAGCATCTCGAGCTATCATTTGGGGAGTTGGGCTAGCCAACCGATGGTCCTTGTAAAGAATCTACCTGCTTGCAGCCCAAACCCTACACCCCAAAACCTAAACTTTGACCCCCAAAATTACAACACCTAAATAAAGAAAGGCTTTCATAATCCCAAAGGCCTATATATATATATGCATATGTATCTATATATATATATATATATATGTATTTGCTCCCTGGACGTATAGGGCTTCCACAACTCCACGGGTCTCCCATTTTTCCGCTTCCGTCTGGTGAGGTCTGCTGCAACCGCGGACTCTACCATTCAAGGGCCCCCAAAGAACTCTTACGACATACTATAGAGGTCGGAAGAATTATATACCAACAACAGTCTTTCTGGCCCCTTTGCAATGATACGAGAATAACCCCCCCAAAACCCTCTTCTCTCTCATTACTCAGGCCCTTAACCCTAAACTCCAAACCCTAATGAAACCCTACGCCCTAAACCTTAGAGACTCAAACCAGAGAGCGCTTTGGGGACCCTTGCGGTGTAGCGGGATCTGTATGGTCTTAGAGAGGAGCGGTGCCAACGGATGCTTGTTTCCGCATCAGGGATTCTAAATCTCAGCCTCCCATGCCCCTCTTCATAAAACCATACCAAGTAGGGTTTAGGGTTTAAGGTTTAGGGTTTTGGGTTCAATTAGGTTTAGGGTTTAGGATTTAGGGCTTTAAATCCTACATCCCAAGCCACGAGAAGAATCTCTCCTGCCGGAGGGTATCCCTGCTGTCCTTCCTCTGCCGCACTCTTTGCCCGCTTTTTGGTTCTAAATATCAGGGGGCTCCTTCATGCAGCACGAAGGCTTCGGGTTTGAGGGCTTTAGGGTATTTTAGGGTTTAGGACTTACGCTTTCTGAGGGTTTCGGTTTGAGTTTTTTTTTTTTTTGGGTTTTGGGTTCAGGGTTTAGGGTGCTTAGGATTTACGGCTTGGGCTGCAGTCCCACAACTTGAAGAACACCCCCAGCATCCCTATTTCGACATGCTTCTTCATCGCGCAAGGCCCCAAAACTGATTTGAGCGAGCTGAACGTGCAGGGCCTTTATATCGCCACATCGCCATCCCAATCAAGGCTTTAGTTTCGTGGCTAAGCCGAAACCCAGTTGGGAAGCCCCAAGCCTCAACAAAACTCAACACCCTAAACCCTATAAACCCCAAACCCTAAACGGCCCTAAACCCAATCAACCCTATAAAGCCTAACCGCTTAAACCTTAAAACTTAGACGTGAAACCCAATACCCTCAAAACAAACAACCCCTGGACCTATATAATCCTAAACCGTACACCCTATATAGCCACATTGAGAGCTTGCCCCTGATAGTGCGGTGCTACTTCTATGCGCGAGCCCACGCTGACGTTGACTTTTGTACGGCTTCTGCGGGTGTCAAGTTTTAGCGGTATGAGGTTTAGAACGGCTTCCTCATCCTGAAGGGAAGAAGGGTGCTAGTGGTCGCACCAAACCCTAAACTCTTGAGGGTTTCGGGTTCGAAGGTTTCAAGGGCGAAATCTAGGGCTTTAGCGCTTGAAGAGATTCCACTCGTTGGTTAGGGGCCCTGGGGTTGAACCTGGGGTTGAAGGTTCAGGGTTTGGGTTCTTATGGCCCACACTGGACCTGAGATCTGTGAAGTCACGCAGCCAGTTTGGGCTCCTGTGTTCGGGCTGCTAGCTGTGAAACTTGGGTGCTGTCCATGAAAGGGCCACACCCTAAGCCCAATCGCACATCATTTCATGCCTCGACTCGCAAGGGGGGACGTGGGGGTTCCAAGGATGGTTTAGGGTTTAGGGTTTAGGGTTTAGGGTTTAGGGATCCGCTTCTGATTTGAGGAGTATATCTTCAGAATTGCGGCGTCTGGGAAGGCCGGGATTGGCCATCCTCAGCTCCCTAACTTAGCTTCAGGTGCTATAATATATATATATATATATACAATGTCTATATA